TGAAGATATTTCCCTCAAAAATTGAAAAAAAAATTCAATTTATCAATTAAACAGTTAGTTATTCCATGTTCTCCATATAGACAATTAAAATCATTCATTTCTAATGTTTTCAAAGTATTTATTGACGAATTAAGTTTGATATGATAGGTTTCAACTACAAAATTTAATCATTTTACTTTGTAATTTAATAATTTTTTTACTCTATTTGTGTGTGCTACTACTAGACTATAATATTACAATTTTTTTTTGTAACATGTTGCTATATAAATCATTTCTAAAAAAAATGATTGTTTTTTCTCCTGAATTAACAATTGATTTTTACAAATATAATCAAATTTTATAATACACTCAATTGAGTAAATCTTTTTAACAACTTTGTTTTGATTGGTACATTTAGTTAAAGTAAATCATTAAAATTAATTAAGTTCTCAATATTTCAATTATAGAATCTTTTCAACAAACAACAAAAGTTCCTAGGAAATTATTACTATTACTTCTATTTAAGTTATCTATTACCATAAAAATGCAAAAAAATATTGAGCTTTTCTGATAAATTTACAATAAATAGTAATTATAAAACTTTCTGACTGCATATTGATCTTAACGATACAATTTTTTTAATTGTCATAAAATTTTCTATTTAATTATGTCAATGTCAAACTTACCAATTGAGCTAAAAGTTATGGTAAAATAAATTTTTTTTTTTTATTATAAACATTTACAACAATCAACTTTAAACGATTAACAAAATAGGTTAAATATGTCATTTTCCTTATTTTTAACTTATTAATAATCAAATTAATATTAAATATTATATCAAATCAGTATTAATTTAAAACAATTTTTTTTGTTCTTAATTATTTTTTTTTATATGTAAAAACTATTTTTTAATAATATTAAAACTTAGAAGTTATAGAAAAAGTCTAATTGCACATTTTAAAACATCGCGAAAAGTTGATTTAGAATAGTATATTTTTGTTTCTGATGGAAGTTCCTTGTAGTCCAGTGTATAAAACTTATAACTTTGTTAATTGTTATAACTTTATCAAAAATGACCAAATCAGTATATTTTTTTTTATTTAGATGCATGTCTTTATCTATCATTTGGTTTTTTTTATAAATCTAACCCTTTACCTGCCCACAAGAGGGATTCAAAATATTAACTTTTTTTTTTTTAGTTAAAGTAAATCATTAAAATTAATTCAGTTCTGGATATTTCAATAGTAGAATCTTTTTAAATATCAAAAATTACTTAGAAATGATTACTATGATTTCTATTTAAGTGTTCTATTACGATAAAAATGCAAAAAATAATGAGTTTTTCTGATAAATTTACAATAAATAATAATTATAAAACTTTCTGACTGCATATTAATCTTAAAAATAACATTGTTTTAATTCTCATAAAATTTTCTATTTAATGATTCATTCTAGTCAACGAAGGAGTAATTTTGCAGAATAGCAGAAAAAATTCCCAACAAACTTTTTTTTTTTTTGTTTTAATTAGGCAATTGGTGGATTATTCCAAAAGCAACATCAACTCTTATTTCTTTAATTATATCATGATTAGTAGTTCTTTGATTTTAAAATATAATATATGAATATATACTAATTATAATTATTAAATTTAGTATGAAATTGATATTTAATATTGTAATTTAAACGGAGAAATTATAAAAATAATAAAGAAGTTATATTTTGCTTTACTTTTACGTGTATAAAAATTTAAAGGGCTTGATACAATAATTTTCAATAAAAACTGTTTTTTTTTAAAAGTTGAATTAAAATATGTATAATGACATACTAATAGTCCTCAAGATTGGAATTGAGCTTTTTTTTTACAGCCTCGCAAAAGTTCAAAAATATGAGCTTTTTTAATTTTCTCAAAAAATATTTAACTTACAAAAAAAAGTTTCGTACAAAAGTTGTTTAAAAGACAATTATAAACAAAAAAATTATCTTATATTTTTTCATTTAAACAAATATTTTTCGAGTTACATTACATTTAATATGAGTACTAAAATTTATATTCCATTTTTTTCATTTTACGGTTACTTTTTATCATGTTACACTTACGTTAGACACAATGTTATAAATGCATATGTGTGTATGTGTGAGTTTATTTATTTATTGTATCATTAAAGTGTAGTGTATATTAATATACAAGCGATAGAGTAGGTAATTGATTTGACGCTATATTGTTTAAACCCAACTAAACGCTAAATTGTACATTCCGAAACAACAATCATATTATGTCAATTGCCACCGGAATTTCTGGTAATATTTTTATTTTTCTTTGCCTTAATCCCAAGTACTCGGGGTCGGTCACCCTTATCCCAAGCTTCCACTTGACACGATCTCCCACATCTTCTAAGNACTTGACACGATCTCCCACATCTTCTACGCTCACATCAGCTGTCCTCAAATCGCATTCAATAGCATCCCTCCATCTCTTTTTTAGTCTTCCTCTATCTCTTCTTCCTTCAACATTCATTTCTATAACTGTTCTTACAGCTGCCGATTCTTCTCTCCTCATAACATGACTAAACAATCTAAGTCTATTTTCTGTCATCTTATCCACGATTGACGCAACACCTATACTTCCTCTTATATGCTCGTTCCTTATCCTATCTTCTCTATTCACTCCACTCATCCAACTAAGCATTCTCATCTCTGCTACACGTATTATCTGGTCTACTTTCTTATCAACCTCCCAACACTATGAACCATACATCATAGCTGGCCTCACAATTTCATACTAAATTTAAAAACTATAATTAGTATTTATTCATATATTATATTTTAAAAACAAAGGACTACTAATCAGGATATAATTAAAGAAATAAGAGTTGATGTTGCTTTTAAAATATTTCACCAATTTCTCTAAAAGAAACACTATCTACAGATTTGCATCGAAGCGTTTCTTATGATAGTGATTTTAATCACTGACAGATATCATCTATACTTGTCCCATCTATGGCCTCGTCCACACTGTGCCTCGACCCCACTGTGCTACCGTTTTTAATTTTATATCTGAAATAATTTTTTTTCAAGTAGAACCGAAACCTTTATTTTACAAGAATCAAAATATATATTTTAATAATAAAAAGCTTCCGAACTGAATTGGTGTATTTTAAACTAATTTTTTAACGAACTTGAATATTAACCCAAACCTATAAAAAATTATGATATTCTTTTTCTTAATATTCCTTTTAATTGAGTCTTGGAATGGCTATTTGATCTATTAATTAAATTATAAATATAAATATAAGATGTAAATTATATATTATTAAAAAAAATTATTGTGATAGACCAAAAGCATTTCATTTTAAATCGAATATGACTGTAACTTTGAGACAATAAATCTTAATCCCCAAAATGTATATATATATATATTAGGGTGGCCCTCAAAAATCGAATGTCTTTTTTTTCTTTACGCTACCCCTTAATTTTTTTTTAATGGTCAAAAAAGTGAGCTGTGCAAAATTTGGGACCGATCCGTTAAGGTTAACCCGTGCCCCCGGGCCTATTAAGTTGAGTCGAAAAGTCAAATTTAATAGAAATAACTGATCTATGTCTCATAACTTTTTTTTCTCTTAACTTAGAATAATAAAAGTAAAACTCAAGTAAAGGAAATTTTACAAGAAATTCAAAAATAATAACTTCAATGTTGTTTTCTCAATAAATAGCCCACAAAAACACTACATACAGTAAAAAACATGTAAAAGTCTTAAAATACGTTATAACTGATTTTGTTGATTTTTAATTATTTATTTTCATTTTATTTTTTGGAAAACGCATATTCGTTTAAAAAAAGATTCTAGAAGTTTAATTTTTTATGCCAAGTACGATAATTATATTAGATTTATTATTTTATGGACAGTTAATTAATGATTAATTACAAACCTAACAGTTTAATTTAATTGTTATTAACAATTTTTAATTTATTTTTTTTTTAAATAATAATAACTTTAAAAAAAATATTTTAACAATAATTAAATTATATTATTATAATATATGTATATATATTATAATATATATATTTTGATAATGTACTTTTTTTACAATTAGGAAATTTTTCCGATAATTACTTACTATTTGTAAAACGTATTGTTTCTGTTCTTCATTTGTAGTTAATATATTAATGTAGTCTTAGATTAATTTAATGCCACGCTAGGCTGTATCATTAATGACTCGTAATTTACTTATAGTATTTAAAGCATTTATGTAACTGTTGTTCGCACTCCAAAATGATGGATCAATTTTCAAAAAATCAGTGTTCAGATTAAATAGTTGTAAATTTGATGGTAACTTACTACCAGTTATTTCGTGGGAATAATTACCAATAAGATAAATATTAGTTCGTAATACTTTAAAAGACGCTAAAAGTATTGTACATTTGTGATTAAAACGTATCATTTAATATATAATAATAAACAGGTAAAATATATTTAACGTGTTCACAAATTGTCTGCTGCATTTATACGACACAAATTATGTCAGTTGTCGAAAATAACTCAAATATTCTTATCTTTAATAATAATATAATTGGTACTATCTTAAAGTAATTCAGTAAACCAAAATTGATATATTGATACGACAAAATGTAATAATACAATCAATTTTGTTAAATTTGTAATTAATCATTAATTAACTGTCCATAAAATAATAAATCTAATATAATTATCGTACTTGGCATAAAAAATTAAACTTCTAGATTCTTTTTTTAAACGAAAATGCGTTTTCCAAAAAATAAAATGAAAATAAATAATTAAAAATCAACAAAATCAGTTATAACGTATTTTAAGACTTTTACATGTTTTTTACTGTATGTAGTGTTTTTGTGGGCTATTTATTGAGAAAACAACATTGAAGTTATTATTTTTGAATTTCTTGTAAAATTTCCTTTACTTGAGTTTTACTTTTATTATTCTAAGTTAAGAGAAAAAAAAGTTATGAGACATAGATCAGTTATTTCTATTAAATTTGACTTTTCGACTCAACTTAATAGGCCCGGGGGCACGGGTTAACCTTAACGGATCGGTCCCAAATTTTGCACAGCTCATTTTTTTGACCATTAAAAAAAAAATTAAGGGGTAGCATAAAGAAAAAAAAGACATTCGATTTTTGAGGGCCACCCTAATATATATATATATATTTCTTTTTTTTTTTTCAAATTTCTATTAAATAACTAAAGATTTTCCCTTAACCTATCAAATTTAGGTTTCAGTACAGAGTGCTTATTTTATAAGTTGATTGAACATTTTTTTTTTTTTGGTTAGAATTGAACTTTTTTGGTATAAAATCTTTTATAGTTTTGACATTTATTAATACGTTATAATAATATAAGCTTCTGGGTTGATTTAGGAGATATTGATCACTTGGAACATTATTTTAAAAATCATAATGCCATCACAAATAGTATGTCTATTATTTCTGTATAACAAGCTTAAAAATATTATTTAATTTCCTTGTTTATTCTAGGCTGATAGACCGGATAAAATTATTATGAATTAACAATGTATTTATCAGAGGAAGAGCTAACATTTGATATATTATACAAAAAGTATATAATCTATCAAGTATTTAGGAATGTGTTGGGCTTCATTTTGTATTGTAACATTCTTATTATTATCACAAGGTTCTTTAGTATCATTATTTTCTTCGATTGAGGTTTCATTGTAATATTTTTTGTTATCTTTGGTGTCATCAACATGATAATAAAGTGAATGATATATATCTTCATAATATCCTAATTGTTCTAGAAAATTTTTTAGTTTGCATTAATGTTTATACATTATTATAATTCATATATGATTTGGTAAAATTTCTATGAAATATGTATAAAGGATTAATTTAATTAACTTATTTGTCAGAGCCAAATTTTTTGCAACACCAAAAAATAATTAGAATAAATTGAGTTAATAATGAAATATATGGCATTATTTAATCCTAGTTCACATGATGAAACGAAATTCCACGATACTGGTATCGATTGAACAAAAAATACCTCATTGTTTCGAAATCAGTTTGATTCATAAAAAACGCAACACAAAGAGGTTGTGTCACAGTAAGGACGCTACAAAATTCGGACAAGTATAAATTATATCGGACAATCATTAAAATCATTATTATAGTATATAAAGACATATAGAAACTTTTACTGAGAAAATGAAAAATTGTGTATCAAAAATGTAAGTATGGATTTATCAAAAAAAAGGAAGAAAATTATCTTTCCTTATTTTATTATTCTGTCCTTATTAGTTCATTATTATTTTAGTCCTCAAATTGAAATTTTAATTTATCAAAAACCATTGGTAGCTAGAACATTTTTTTCTTTTTTGGAAAAAATAGCCCATTCTTTTTAATATATTTTTTGGATGACATAAAAAATTACAAAATATTTATAACTAACAATAAATGTTGTTATTTATTTTCAATACGATAGGAGTTCAATTGGTATTTGCCTCCCCCATTAAATGACTATACCGCTTAACCAGAAATATAAACATAATAATTTAAAAAAAAAAGTTATAACATCACAAAATCTAGCATGTTTTATTAACTACGGCGGCCATATGCACATAAATAATAAGGTGTCGGGAAAAGTTTTTTTTTTTTAAATTATAATATGTAACATTAACTTTAATTTAACATATATTAGAAACTCGGAGTATTTCCGGGACATTTTCAAATGTCAAGTTGAACAAGGAATCTTTTAATACATAAATCTTCATTTTGAATCTCTCCTGTGGGCCAGCTAATGGGTCAGAATTTTATAAAATCTATACTAAATGAAAGGAAAATACCTAAGATATTTATAAAAAAAAAAAATGTTTTTATTCATTCATTGGACTTTGTTGATTTTAAAAACAGTAATTTTTTAAGTGTAAATCTCTGCCGCATTAAAAAATATTAAAATTTTGGATTTTATCATTATGTGTAATTTAATTTTTACGATATTTTGCATCTCAAATTAACCTAAGTTTCGTCCTCAGGGGTAATAGATAACTTTGATCCTCTTAAAGTAACTGTAAAATATAGTGAATAAATGTGTATGTTTATACAATGAGATTATATAAAATAAATTATTATTTAAAATTGTATAAACAGTGGAAGCTACATTGAGTAAGCATTAAGTAATATGTATTAATTACTAAGTTATTAAAATAATCATATGTTATAAAACAGTGACGCTGTAAACATTCAAACTTTAATCTCCATACATTTTTCAATATTTGCTCTACTTATAATAATATTTCTATAAAAACTTTAAACAGTATTAATTTATAAACAAATTGCTAATACTTTTCATTCATTCATTTAACAAAAAAAAAAAAATTCTGATTATGTGCCTGTAAACTCACCAAATGGAATGTTATACTTGAATTTTACAACTGAACGTGTATCTCTGTGTTTTATAGGAAGGTATCTATTTACAATCTCAAAACAATCCTGATATTTTTTCAATTTTTCATTGTATAATGCAATTTCATTTATACGATGTTCTAATGAATCATATATTTCACATATATTATCTTTGGTAATTTTATATTTATGTAACTTTTTTAATTGACTTTTTAAAAAATTTTTTTTTAAAAACGCAAAATATGTTTTTAAAAATATTTCTATTTCTTTATGAAAAAATAAATCATTACGTTCTTTGTAGATGGATATTATATAATATATCCTATTATAAAATTCGTCTAACCATAACTTTAACAATTTTGTAAATAAATTCAAATCCATAAAAGATTTAAATTTTTCAAGGATATTTTCACCTAATTCAATAATTTTTATTTTTATTTCAAACTTAAATTTTAGATCATAAAGATATTGATTTGATATAAAGCTATTTATTAAATGCATATAATAACGTACAAGGAATATGACAGGACGAACTGTTGCTGCATTTACCATTTCAATATATACCTGCACGTTTTTCGGGTTAAAATCAAACTTGATATACCGGAAAATATCAAACAACTTTATACGATAATTGTTACTAGCTTTTTTGTTAACTGAAGCATATCTTAACATGTCTAAAATATCTTTAAGACGATAATTTTCATCACAGATGGCTGTTTGTTTTGTCTGAGAGCCTGACGATAATTCTAGCTCGCAAAAATTAGATCGGTTTTCCATTAAATCATAAAATAAGATATTTTTAGGATTAAAATTATTATATGATTGTCTATAAAAAGACAACGACAAATGTTTCACAATGTTATTGTAACTGTTTAATATTTCTTCATCTTTCGCCTCGTACCATAATATATATTCGTTCATAACAATAAATACTTTGTTTTTCAGTTGTTCCAAGACACGAAGCAAGTTAATTGAATTGCAAATAATCTTTACATTAAAATAGGTGTAGGATATGAAGTCATTTTCAAATGATACATCCGTACATTCATTATTAATAATGTATTCCAATCGTCTAACAATTGATTGGTGAATTATTTTATATCCTTCAAGTAAACACTGAGTGCTCTCAGATTTACCGAATTCGCCATTTTTGCCTTTTGCGATCATGTTTAAGGAGCCTGAAACATTGTTTAAGTATAAATTTACCGCTATTAAATCTGATGCTCTATAGCTCTCATCTAATTCTCGCAACGCATCTAACATGATCATTATGATATCATCATGCGATTTGATTGCTAATCCATAATTTCTTAGTTCAAGTTCAGAAATTGTGTTTTCAAAGTTATACAAATATTTTTCACTGTACTTGAAGTAATTTAACATATATTTCGAAAAATTACAATGCAAGTCTATTAAATCATTTGCTACAATAAAATTTGTATACTTTAAAAAAATTATAAAAAGTCTTAATATGATTATTTTGATATCACTGACAAGCATTATGGAATTGATTATCACTGAATAACAGTTCTTGTTTTTCATCTAGATTAAAAATATGGGTTAAACTATAATTTAATGTATTAACTATTTGTTTAAAGTACATTTCATGATTAAGAATAGATTATTATTTACTTATACTTATACTTAGCACTTTTAGTGAAGAAATAGTCACTTTCTTTTATAAGCTCCCAACACCGTAAAAAATGTTTATATTACTCAGATTTTTTGTATTTACTATTTTCGCCGTATATATACATGAATAATACAAATGGTAGAATAGGTCTAACTGACAACTCTTAAAACTTTTGATACAACTAAAATTGCACTTCAATTTTTTTTTTAAGTTGTCAGCTAAATATGTTCTACTCTGTATATAATATAGCTTTTTAACAGTAAGACTTAATTAAAATGTTTAATTATCAATTTTGAAATAATTATGTGGTCTACTCATGCAAAAAAAATATTTTAAGAAAAGAAATTTTGTTATTTAAAGCAAAAATATTAAGATATTTTTTTAAATGTACTTGAACAATTAAATATTAAAAATAAATGTAACACGCATTTTAATAAAGGTAAAAAATTACTTAGTATACTTACCGAAATATATATTTTTAATTTTGCATAATATTTTTCATAATTTATTTGAATAATACTACTATTTTTAAATGTAAAATAATCATCAACAACATGTTCATTACTAAAAAAAGTTATAATACAATTATAATGTAATAATACAAATATTCTTGCAAAAAAAAAATCAGAAAGTAGTTGTTATAACTGCAATAAATAATCATAATTATAAATATAAATAATTATGTACATACTTATAATATAATTATTGTATATATTATTATCCCTTTAAAAATCATCAAACAGAAGTTATTTTTTAATATTTTTCGCAATAGTGAAGCATTTGAAACATCATTATTCTCAAAACATTATCATGCATTCGAAACTTTAGTAAACTTAAATACTTCTTAATGACGGTCAATAATTATTGGATAAAAATAGGAAAGGGTAAAAATTATTTATATCGCTTGAATTTTATCTTCGATGCAAAGCTGAGAAGGTATAAAGGGTGATTTTATTATAATAACCCATTCAATTACTTACAGAATAAATATAACAATACATAAAAGGACAATTTTTATGGGCAATAACTTTTTTTTTAAAAACTTACAATAACTTTAAAAAAATAAAAAATAAATCAAACTTTTTTTTATAGATGTCTCAGGCACTTTCATTTCTCTAGGTATGATTTTGAAAATTTGATCCTATTGCTCACGAGGAGATTAAAATTAGCGACTTTGTTTATTTTAGTAAAGTTTATTTTCTGAAAATGCTTCTGGCGTCAATCATAAAGGGTGTTTCAAAAAGAACGCCGGATTTGAAAGTGCTATAAAATTAATTTATTTTCATAAAAAAATTATACTATTCGATTCAGAAGATCTTGAGGTTTAATCATGAAAAACAATATCGGGTATATGCCCTCCCCTACTAACTCTGCACGCAATAGCTCTGTCCATGAAATTCGCCATCACCTGATCACACACATCCGCATCGATTTGGCCAAGAATAAGTTGAAATTCACGCTTGAGTTCCGTCACATTTTTAGGTTTGTTTTCGTAGACTTGTGACTTAGTGTAACCCCACAAAAAAAAGTCACACGGAGTTAAGTCCCATGATCGAGGTGGATAGAATTGGTCTCCCCGCAACAAGATTAGTCGGTCTGGAAATCTCACACGAAGGAGTGCAACTGTTTCTGCTGAAGTGTAGCACGTTGCACCATCCTGTTGGAACCAAAGGTTATCCATGTTCATTTGATCCAATTAAGGTCATAGGAAATCAGTGAGCATTGCTCGGTACCGAACTCAACTGAATCACGCACAAGAGCCACAATTGCCTCACTCCGACCACTTCGAGGATATCCTGGGCTTTTGATGTCTTAAACTCAACTACTTGCTTCGAATTTTGTAACTAAACGACAAACAGTTGATTCTTTTGGAGCATTATGATGTCCTAAAATCGTACGTAGTCGGCGAATGGTCGCTGCGAAATTTCCACCGATTCTATAATAAGTTTGAATGAACGAAATTCGTTGTTTTGTAGTGTAATTTTCCATGGTAACACAATAAACACAACTACTAAGAACAACCAAATTGCTTGACAACACAAAACCTCAATAATAATAGATATCAAAAATTGCAAAAAAAATGCTGTCAACAACAAACAAATAAAATGGCGACATTTTCATATTCGGCGTTCTTTTTGAAACACCCTTTATGTTAATTAAAACTTATATTACGTACTGCAGTTAAAAAAAAAAATTCCCAACAACCTATCATTTATGGGAAAATGGCTACCGTAGTTATAAAACATGTTATTTTATTTGTATGTTTTCCAAGGTCATGAAAAAAAAAGTTAGAATTCCCCCATATTATTTTTTAAGAAATGTACATCTACGCGTTTTTTTTATATTAAAATACCATACAAGGGTTCACCATAACATTGAGGCCTCCTAATGTCATAAAAATAACATAATTCGAATTTACATTTAATGTAAAGTTAAACTCATTACGAATATTATATTTATAATATTTAACTAAATTTGTGTATTCCTCTATCAGTCTATAATATATCAATTTTTTTGAAAACATATTACGGTATAAATAATTTTTCTATAATTATAATTTATGGTTTCACCAAAATTTATAAATGGATTTTTACAATTATAATCAATTTTATAATACGTTCAATTAAGAAGATGTTATTATCAACTTTTTTATTGTTTTTTCAAGTTTCGACGTGAAACTAAAGAGGTTTAGATTTACGTTAAAATTGCAAATTAAATTGTGATTTAAAGCTTTTCTAATAAATTTACTGTAAATAATAATTAAAAAATGTATAGACTGCGAACTAATCTTAACAATACCATATTTTTAATTCTCATAAAAATTTCTATTTAATGATGGGATTTAAAACTTGCAAAACTTTAGTGTTGTACAAATTAAAATACTAAATTGTTGAATATTAATTTCATACTACTTTTAATTACTATAATAATTATTTATTCACATATTATACTTTTAAATGAAAGAACTACTAATCAGAATTTAATTAAGGAAACCGGAGTTCATATTGCTTTTGGAATAATCCAGCAATTTTTTTTAAATTAAACATTACAAATTTGCATCAAATTGGCAAGACTAATTATGTCGGAATTAATCAGTTCAATATACGAACTAAAAAATAAATAACAACAGAATATAACCAATACAATGTTAATATTATAGACTATATCTATACTATAAATTTACTAATAATGTAATTTTAACGATAAAATTTTAAATTTTCATTTCTTCCTTATACTTAGGGGTCAATTAAATAAAAAATTTAACTTTTAAAAATACTCATCATGTTGTATGACATCAATTCTAACACAAAAATAATAAATGATACAATCATTGCACAACTAAGGAAAGCTATTATAGGGAATATTTCTTTTAGCGATACACTTTCTATTATAATGTCTTTGTTGAGAGAATCACAAGTTGGTTTTTGTGGCATGAACTGGTTATAAATTCTTTTTTTTAATCCCACTTCATCTTGTAAAATCAATCTGAAAAATAGTATCTATAATTAGTATAACTAATCTTAGTGCAATAGACACAAATGTTAAAAAAAATACACTATTTGGTTATTTTTCAAAAGCTGATATATTACTTATATTATTTTTTTATGAGAACATTAATAAATATAAAATTTTAATAGCGCCAGATGAAAAATTACATTTTTAAGTGCATAAAACAAAACGTCCCCTTAATTTTTTTTGTAATTTTTGACATAAAAATAACATTGTTTTTTATTGAATATGAGCTACATAATTATTTATTCTATTATGCGTGTTTGTTAAGCGGGATTATTCTTGGTAATGAATCGGACGCTCACTTAAATTAATTTGTTTGATATTTTTTAATTCTGAGATTAATGTAATAAATATTAAATTTAACAAGCATAAATAAAATTTACAAAATATTTGTTCCTTATTTTTATTTATAATTAAAACTTAAATGAAAATATTTAAATACAAATGTAACTTTGAGCGCGTAGCTGATGGTTAAACGGTGAAACGCTTTAAGCCCTTACATATTACTATAGTGATGGATGAAATTACTAGAGGAATACAAGGAGAAGTACCGTGGTGCATGTTTTTGCTGACGTTATAGCGTTAAAAAGAGACATTAGGGAGGAAACTAATTAAAGGCTAGAAGTGTAGAGATAAGCTCTTAAAGAAAAGGGTTTAAGAATAAGTAGGAGTAACACAAAGTATACAGAGTATGAGTTTAACAAAGGAGAACACGAGGTAGCTGAAATAAGGAGATCAGTGACTGTGAGGATGTGATAGTAGAGGTAGAAAGTTTTAAGTATTTAGGATCAGTAAAAGAGCGGTGGTATTGATGAGGATGTAAGACACAGGATTAAGGTTGATAAGAAAGTAGTACAGAGAATGAGTACAGCAGAGATGAGAATGCTTAGATGGACGAGTGGAGTGATTAGAAAAGATAAGATAAGGAACGAGCATATAAGAGGGAATATAAGAGGGAGTGTAGCGTCAATCGTAGATAAGATGAGAAAAAATAGACTTAGATGGTTTGGTCATGTTATGAGGAGAGAAGAATCGGAAGCTGTAAGAACAGTTATAGGAATCAGTGTTGAAGGAAGAAGAGGCAAAGGACGAAAAAAAAAGAGATGGAGGTATATTATTGGATGCGATATAAAGACGGCTGATGTGTGCATAGATGATGTGAGAAATCGTATCAAGTGGAAGATTAATATAAGAGTGGCCGACCCCAAGTAGTTGGGATAAGGGCCAGGAAAAAGAAGGAGTAATGTCATCGTTCGCTGTCCATGCCGGTGTGGATCTACGTCCATTCGCCTTGTCACTCCATTCACAAGCCACTATCATTGTTGACATTCGCTTATACTGCCACTGCGAAATTGAAGCCATCGCTATAGTCAAGAAAGTCTGTTAACCGTTGCTTCAGCGATGGTCATCCTCTCGATCTCCTGACCCACTTATGTGAGTTGCGGCTTGTCCCTGGTGAGTCCCTTATCTAAATATATGTGTTGTGACGAGTAAGATTATGCTTATGTGAGTAACCGGCAGAGGAATCTCTCGAGTTACTTACATCCGAGCCCATAGGCAAACGATCTTCGAGACTTTAACTGCAGAGATTATAGCGAACCTGGACGCATAACTACCGACAAGGGGCCACTGGCAAGATGTTTTACACGTTACCGAACGTCTGATATCCGTGGCAGGGACGCGACCGACGCGTACCGTACTCACCGTTGTGTTGGACATTTATTATTTTGTAAATATTCATATATGTATGAGTAAATAAGGCCGACCCCCAATAGTTGGGATTAAGGCGAGGAAGAAAAATAAGAAGATGTATGAGTAAAGAGTTTTTGTATATTGTTTTTATTGTAATTTGAAATGATGTTTATGTATATAAAACCAGTATAAATAAAGTTTACCCCATCAACTGTATTAACATTCTAATTCCATCTTCTTTCTCAGTTTATCGGCTCTTTAAGTGTCATCGCTACCATCAATAATCTAACAGCGTGATATAACGTTAAACAAAATTTTGTAGCTACTTACTGTTGCTTTATGGAGTCTTTATATCCAGATTTTTTAGCAATGTATAAAGTTAATGGAGGTAGCGTAAACAAGTTTAATTGAGTTAGACTGCATTTTTCTTGTTCGTTCCATGATTTAGCAATTATATCATTAGCTACCGACGTATCAACCTAAAAAAAGTTAAGTTATAACTACCAAAATTAAACAAGTTTTACTATTAAAATAGAACAAATACTCTATGATCAAGAGTGAACTGGTTTTGGAGGGGAGAAGATTATGTCTCCACGGATCACGCTATAAAAATGTATTAGTTTCACTAAAACAATATCTTATTATTACTCATCAAGTCATTGCTGGAAGATAATTGAATAATGATCATATCATTTACTAAAATGCATTAGTTTATAAGATATTCATTTAAAAAGTACTTCTAATAATATACTAATTATATATAATTCGCTTATGTCTATTATGGTAATGAATATGTTAATAATATATAATTATTATTTTTTAAATTACTTATACCCACTATCTACTTGAATGTAATAATTTTAAGATAATTATATTAGAAAACTTTTATATTATATGGCTATAATTAATTAATTTATAATCTTATTAATTAGGTAGTTCTATGTATTATTAATTTACAATTCTGTGACTAATATTCATAGGTGAAACAAATTGGTTTTTGAGATTGGTTCATCAGTTAAAAATACATGTAAAAAATAAAAAGGTTTAAAAATACAATTAGCTAATTGTTTCGTTGCAATGTTGTCGTTCGTAGATACACATCGCTTATTATTAAATGCAGCTCTATTAAGTGATATTATCAAGGAAGTATCAAGATACAGTGTTGTAACTGAAGGCTTAAATATAAACATATTAAATAATATAAAAATATGTATCATTTTTTAGCTTCGATGCGAAGCTGAGATGGTATTAGTTTTACTTTATTTTATCTTCACGATGTGTTGGGTTTTTTTTAACTTAATAATGCTATAACATTTTGGAAAATGTATGATTAGTAAATTTTTNGGGTTTTTTTAACTTAATAACGTTATAACTTTTTGGAAAATGTATGAATCAGTAAATTTTTTTTTATAGATGCTTGATGTCTTTACTTATCATTTGGTATATTTTTTTTATAAATATGACCCTTTATCTGCCCACAGGGGGGGATTTAAAATAACAATTTTTTCACAAAAAATTTACTTTTACACTTAACTTTTGAAAGTGTTCCGGAAAGTTTGACATTTCTATATATATCTTAANAGTTCCGGAAAGTTAGACACTTCTATATATATCTTAAATTAAAGATAATATAATGTACTTTATTATAAACAAAAAACCCAGCACAGGGGGGTCGCGGCACAGTGGTGACGTGGCATTGTTGGGTCAAGTATAATTAAAATCACTATCATAAAAAACGCTTTGATGCAAATCTTTAGATAGTGTTTAGTTTTATAAAATTGGTTGATTATTCCAAAAGCTACATGATCTAATATTTCCTTATTTATATCCTGATTAAGATAAAGTATGTCGAATAAAATAGGGATATAAATAATATTTCTTATAAAAATTGTATTGATGTAAAATGTAAAAAATAAAATCGATTATTTTCACACACGAAAATAGCATTCGGTGGTCATTTTTATCATGAAGACAAAATAAAATCCGAAATTTTTTTTTTCTATAATAAAGTATATTACAGTAGATTTTATTTAAGATATATATAAAAATGTCAGACTTTCCGGAACATTTTAAAAATTTAAGTGGAAAAAATTAATTTTTTGTGAAAAAGTTGTCATTTTAAATCCCAACGGTGGCAGGTAAAGGATCAGATTTATAAAAAAAATATATCAAATGAAAAGTAACGATATCATGCATCTATATAAAAAAAATGTACTGATCCATACATTTTCCAAAAAGTTATAGCATTATTAAGTTAAAAACATAAAAAAGAATTTTTTTCAAAAAACATATTTTTTTTATTAATTTAATATATATATAAAAGTGTCAGTCTTTCCGGAATATTTTCAAAAGTTAAAATTAAAAAGTTACCATTTTTAAACCTTTCTTGTGGGCTGTTAAAGGGTCAAATGTTCACAAAAATATACAAAATGATAGGTAAATATCTAAGGTATCTATAAAAAAAAAAAATTATATTGATTTGGTCATTTTTAAAAAAGTTATGGCAATTTTAAGTAAAAAAATTAGCAATTTTTAAATTTCTAATTTTTTTGGATTTTTCTCCCATTTACGGAGAACGAGAGAAATTTTTTTAATTGTTGAGGGTAATGTCTTCGACTAGATTCGATTTGTGATCTTTTGACGTATCATTGAAAGAAATCGGTTCGGTGAGAGCTGAGAAAAAGTGGTAACAGACACAAAAAAAAAAAGACATCATAGTAAAACCAATAATTTCTCAGCTTAGCATCGAAACTAAAAAATGATACATATTTTTATATTATTTAATTTTTTTTTGTTCTTTTGAAAAAATTCTAAAAGTAACATATCAGCTTTTAAAAATGGCTACACAATTAATTTCTTCAGAAATTTTTTTTTTATGATGATTTTCATAAAAAATATATAGAATATAATATCTTGTTTAAACTGGTCTTTAAAGAAAAATACGAGTAAATTAAACAATCTATTATTTATTAAGATATATTGATCCAAACCATATAACAAATTTAATTATGTCACAATTTCTGATTTTCAGGTAAACAAAAATGAATAACAGAATATTAATTTGGTTAATCAAAATAGTGAATAAATTCAAAAGTTAATATTGAATAATTGCAACATGCATTAAAAAAACTTACCAAAAACGCATGGAATTCTTTTTGAACTCTTATCATACCAACTTTAGCCGATGTAAACGCATCACTTGGTTTTGTTTTTATAATTTTATTTTGATAGATTTTCTTAACAGCATGTATTTTTGTTTCCTATTAAAANGCTAATATTTCGTTTCGAATTGTTTCTCTTATATCAATCATTCAAATAATGGCCCACAAAGTTGTACGTCAAACGATGGCTGTATTATTCATCATATTTGAACTTGTGATGCGTTTTAATGTGGATATCATTACTAATGTCATTATTCATTTTATCATTGTTATGTTTGCCATTAACATGGAAATTATAAAGAATAAGACGTCATCCAAAAAGCGTAAACCTTTGATTGATCCTCGAGACAAGGACCGTGTGTTACGTTTTGTCGGCAACTACTTGACTACCATGATCCATTTTCCTGAAAATCTGTGGACACTTTTCTACAAGTCGGGACAGTATCAGGAAATTTATAAGTATTCAGGACCTGATGTATTTGCTCATAGTCGAACCAAAATACGAGACAACATTGATTGTCAGTACTTCAGACATGCTGATCTGGAGATCGATTTGTGTAACATTCAAGAATATCCAGACTTGGTGTGGCTGGTTGACGTGTACGCCTCCATAAGACAACCTCGCCTTGAACGGCGGCCTAGGTTTTTTAATCAAACTTTTATGATTAAACGTGTAAAACCACATTGTTTTAAAGTACTTGCGACTACTATCAAGTACCACAAAACAGTTCGCACATAGTTGGGTAAACTCCGTTTAAATTGATCAATAATAAATCTACACACATTTACTTTATATTTTTTTTAGAGAAACGTATAATTGTGTTTTTTATTAGTGTCTGGCGATTGAATTTTAATTAAGAAATTTTCAGCTAATTGTAATTTATTTGAAACAATAACGCTTGATTTAAAATATTTTGTATTTTTTAGGAATTGAAAATTTAAACCATTAAACATGGATGTCATATGTCTGTGTTCAATTATACTTATTTGCCTCAATATTTTTCAATAATTAACAGATTCGATATGACTAGCAAAAGTAGCTTAAAATTTATGTTGTCTAAATAAAAACTTTAATTGGTCAGTTGACAAAAATACGTTATGATATAAAATATAAAAAAATTAAATATTTTGTTAATTTAACTCATATACAATGTTTTAGGAATACACATGTCAAATTTGGAATAACAAAATAATCTCTGATATACAACATATTAATGTAAGCAACATTCGAATGCTTACAAAATTATTTCTTTTATTGATTTATGATTTTGCATGATTTTACTTTATTTGCAGTTTATCTTAAAGAATTTTGTTCTATACATTTTATATTATCTACTTTAATTGATTAAAATCATATAAATACAAATATCTATTTCTAATTGTTGATAATTAAATCTAATTATATACGAATATATTATTTTATTATTGTTTTATAAATAATTGACGTATTGTAAAGATAATGAAATTCAGTTTAGAAATAAAATAAAAAAGTTGAAAAAAAAATGTAATTTTTTACACAATTATGTAAACATTTAAATTTATTCAATTATGTTCATTATTGTAGGAAAAATATAAACTTGTGCTATATATAAAAAACGGTAGCACAGTGTGGTCGAGGCACAGTGTGGACGAGGCATAGATGGGACAAGTATAGATGATATCTGACAGTGATTAAAATCACTATCATAAGAAACGCTTCGATGCAAATCTGTAGATAGTGTTTCATTTAGCGAAATTGGTGGATTATTCTAAAAGCAACATCAATTCTTATTTCTTTAATTATATCCTGATTAGTAGTTCTTTGATTTTAAAATATAATATATGAATAAATACTAATTATAGTTTTTAAATTTAGTATGAAATTGTGAGGCCAGCTATGATGTATGGTTCATAGTGTTGGGCGGTTGATAAGAAAGTAGAGCAGAGAATAAGTGTAGCAGAGATGAGAATGCTTAGTTGGATGAGTGGAGTGACTAGAGAAGATAGGATAAGGAACGAGCATATAAGAGGAAGTATAGGTGTTGCGTCAATCGTGGATAAGATGACAGAAAATAGACTTAGATTGTTTAGTCATGTTATGAGGAAAGAAGAATCGGAAGCTGTAAGAACAGTTATAGAAATGAATGTTGAAGGAAGAAGAGATAGAGGAAGACCAAAAAAGAGATGGAGGGATGCTATTGAATGCGATTTGAGGACAGCTGATGTGAGCGTAGAAGATGTGGGAGATCGTGTCAACTGGAATCTTAGGATAAGTGTGGCCGACCCCAAGTAGTTGGGATTAAGACAAAGAAAAAGAAAAAGATTACCAGAAATTTCGGTGGCAATTGACATAATATGATTGTTGTTTGGGAATGTACAATTTAGCGTTTAGTAGGGTTTAAACAATATAGTGTCAAATCAATTACCTACTCTCTCGCTTGTATATTAATATACACTACACTTTAATGATACAATAAATAAATAAATTCACACATACACACATATGCATTTATAACATTGTATCTAATGTAAGTGTAAAGTGTAATGATAAAAAGTAACCGTAAAATGAATGGAATATAAATTTTAGTACTCATATTAAATTTATTAAATGTATATAAATATTAAATGTACGAAACTTTTTTTTGTAAGTTAAATAGTTTTTAAAAAAATAAAAAAGCTCATATTTTTGNTTAAATAGTTTTTAAAAAAAATAAAAAAGCTCATATTTTTGAACTTTTGCGAGGCTGTAAAAAAAAGCTCAATTCCAATCAATGAGGACTATTAGTATGTCATTATACATATTTTAATTCAACTTTTAAAAAAACAAAATTTGATTAGGAATTTTTTAAGAAATTTTTCCTTTGTTGACTGGTCTAGATGTCAATTTTAAACTTGTAATTGAGTTAAAAGTTATGGTAATATATTCAATTTTTTTTACTTTAAACTTTCATAAATCTTTATCAAAAATTTTTCATCAACTTTAAAGAACCAAGAAAATAGGTTTTAACCCCACTTGTATAAAGGGATCTGATTTACAAAAAAAAAACAAGTCAGATGAAAGGGGTATATAAATATTCATTATAAAAAAAAAATAATATTGATCCATACATTTTTCCAAAANTACTTTAAACTTTCATAAATCTTTATCAAAAATTTTTCATCAACTTTAAAGAACCAAAAAAATAGGTTTTAACCCCACTTGTATAAAGGGATCTGATTTACAAAAAAAAACAAGTCAGATGAAAGGGGTATATAAATATTCATTATAAAAAAAAAATAATATTGATCCATACATTTTTCCAAAAGTTATATAAAATATAAAATCGAGAATTTTTTTACGGAAATCGTACGGTTTTCTTTAACTTTGATGTCCGTTTTCACCACGAAGACAAGTCCAGAGGTCAAAATTTTTTTTTTCAAATTAAAGTATATTACATTAGCTTCAATTTAAGATATATATAAAAGTGTCAGTCTTTCCGGAACATTTTCAAAAGTTAAGTTGAAAAAGTTCTACTTTCTATACGCATTTTAAAAGGTTTGCACCCCCCCTGTATAAAGGGAAATGGTCCGATTTTAAAAAAAAGTATGTCGAATGAAAGAAGTATATATAAAGTATTTATCATTAAAGAATAAAGTTGATTCATGCATTTTTTAAAAAGTTATAGCAACATAATGTTAAAAAATGTAAAATATAATATCAAGAATTTTTTCACAAAAATAGCATATTTTTGCATACGGTAGTCATTTTCACCATGAAGACAAGTCCAGAGGTCAAATTTTTTTTTTTCAAATTAAAGTATATTACATTAGCTTTAATTTAAGGTATATATAAAATTGTCAGTCTTTCCGGAACATTTTCAAAAGTTAAGTTGAAAAAGTTAATTTTTTGTAAAAAAGTTACCATTTTGAAACCCCATCCTTTGGGCTGTTAAAGGGTCAAATGTTCACAAAAATATATAAAATGATAGGTAATTATCTAAGGTATCTNTTGTGGGCTGTCAAAGGGTCAAATGTTCACAAAAATATATAAAATGATAGGTAAATTTCTAAGGTATTTATAAAAAAAAAATTATATTGATTCGGTCATTTTTAAAAAAGTTATGGCAATTTTAAGTAAAAACAAATGAAAAAATATCGATTTATGATCTTTTGACGTATCATTGAAAGAAATCAATTCGGTGAGAGCTGAGAAAAAGTGGTAACAGACACACAAAAAAAAAAACACATCATAGTAAAACCAATAATTTCTCAGATTAGCATCGAAACTAAAAAATGATACATATTTTTATATTATTTAATTTGTTTTTGTTCTTTTGAAAAAATTCTAAAAGTAACATATCAGCTTTTAAAAATGGCTACACAATTAATTTCTTCAGAAATTTTTTTTTTATGATGATTTTCATAAAAAATATATAGAATATAATATCTTGTTTAAACTGGTCTTTAAAGAAAAATACGAGTAAATTAAACAATCTATTATTTATTAAGATATATTGATCCAAACCATATAACAAATTTAATTATGTCACAATTTCTGATTTTCAGGTAAACAAAAATGAATAACAGAATATTAATTTGGTTAATCAAAATAGTGAATAAATTCAAAAGTTAATATTGAATAATTGCAACATGCATTAAAAAAACTTACCAAAAACGCATGGAATTCTTTTTGAACTCTTATCATACCAACTTTAGCCGATGTAAACGCATCACTTGGTTTTGTTTTTATAATTTTATTTTGATAGATTTTCTTAACAGCATGTATTTTTGTTTCCTATTAAAAATATAATAAGTAATAGGATTTAATTATTTGTATAAATACATGACAATATGTATATAAGCATATTTAAACATTCTAAAAATGAAAGTTGGTCTTATTTCTTGTGAAAATAACAATTTGATAAATATTGTGTTGGTAAAATTTTAAAGTCTTAATAAAACTATGTTAACTTATAATATAGTTTCATGTGAATAACTTTGACATTTTATTAAATTTTTAATTTTTATTTACATTTAGATATACGTAATTATGTGCAGTATCGAGTACACTAAATGTTGTTGATTTATCAGCTAAGTCTTTGATAGATTTAATTGATTGACTTGGAGTCTGAAGTATTACTACTATGCTAGCGGAATATGAAGTAAATAAGAAAACAGCCGTAAAAAACAAAACGCTAAATGCCATTCTTACAGATGTTGTAGTCATAATTGTTGATGTTCCTATAAAATGATAAAAAACAAGTATATAAAATATGTCAATTTGTATAATATATTGCCATCAGTTCAAGTTATACGTAAATTTGAGGTTATTTATCAAAATATGAATGAGCAATATATTAAAGCCTGTTTAAATACAAGAACCTCCAGTTTAATAACACTGAATATCATTAGGAGAACGTGGGCTAAACATATACAGGGACTAAAGTTCGATTTGTTGGCGGATACGATTTGGGTTTTTGGTTTTACTTAATTTGTAGAAAAACAGATTCAGTCTCTATTTATAATATTTATATAATACAAGTGTTATAGATACACATTATATCTGATAATTTAAAATCGTCTAAAGTATATCAACAATGTTACGCACATTGTGCGTAATACATTTATGAATGTGTTGAAACTTTCATGGATTGTCATATTATTTGAAAAGCTTGAGGATTTATCCATGTTTGCAGTTGNGTTCGATTTGTTGGCGGATACGATTTGGGTTTTTGGTTTAACTTAATTTGTAGAAAAACAGATTCAGTCTCTATTTATAATATTTATATAATACTAGTGTTATAGATACACATTATATCTGATAATTTAAAACCGTCTAAAGTATATCAACAATGTTACGCACATTGTTGATATATTTTGTGGTTTTCGTAATAAAAAAATGGTTTTAAATATTACAATAAATTATAATGTAAATAATAATAATAATAAGATTTTACTTTTAAAATGTTATACAAAATACTGCGTTACTCTTTGAAAACATAGTTGTATATGAATTTGTTTTATTTTCATATAAAATCAACAATAATACATTTATGAATGTGTTGAAACTTTCATGGATTGTCATATTATTTGAAAAGCTTGAGGATTTATCCATGTTTGCAGTTGATTTCTGACGTTTCAGACTCATTGCAAAGTCCATCTTCGGAGCGATAGTTACTGCTCAGTGGCTGAAACTATACTGGCGGCTTATCTTGTTATCAGTCTGTTTTTATATTGCAATAGCTATTGCAACAAGAATAAAAGAACACGATAAAGACGTGGATTACCAAAGGACAGAAAAATCTGCAGTAGCCAAACACGCTAAAAACAAAGGACATGACATCCAATTCGATAAAGTAAAAATACTAAACAAAGAAACTCATTTTGGCAAACGAATGTACAAAGAGGCAATAGAAATCGAAAAATGTCCAGAGAATTTCAACAGAGAAGACAGATGGAAAATAAGCAAGACTTCGTTACCCATCATACACCAGACAAAAAGAAAATCAACTAACAACTCTGAAAACAGTTCAATACAAGAAAAAGTTACTATCAACGTAATGGAAAACTGTCGGTGCAGAAAAGGAAGACCAAAATGCCAAGAATGTCAAAAAAAATAACAACAATAATCAAAAATAAAGTCATCAACAAAAACATCAGCAAAAATAAGATACCGTAAACAACATGAGTCATAAACAGATATGATAAACAACTGATATTATAAACAACCAACGTATAAAAACAGGCTGATAACAAGATAAGCCGCCAGTATAGTTTCAGCCTCCGAGCAGTAACTATCGCTCCGAAGATGGACTCTGCAATGAGTCCGAAACGTCAGCAATCAACTGCAAACATGGATAAATCCTCAAGCTTTTCAAATAATAATACATTTTATTTAATTAAGAAATATTATAAATAAATATTATTTGAAAAAATAATTTAAAATTAAAAAAGAAACTTTTGAAGTTTTTTATAATATACATAAAAAATAAAAAAATGTATTCTTCTACCTCCCAATTTTCGTCATTTTTGAAGGCTAAGGGAGACTCAAAATTTTTTCTTATTATTCGAAAGTACACATAATTTAAAATTTGTACATACATTTTATTTTTCGTTATATAAAGATTTTTTTTATAAAAATGTTTATATACATATTAACTTCGTTGTCAAAAAAAAATTATTTCTAAGAGTAGTTTTTAGCAAAAACTATCGAAAGTTAAATATTGACTTATAATTATTTTTATATAGGTGTTTAGTAAGTAAGGAATCGAGTTTTTATTGTTATAATTGTTTGTAACAATTGTCCTGTTTCCTTACTTATTGAATAATATTTTGTCTTGTCTATAATTAGTCGTCTAATATTAATTTTTGAGATATTAGCATTTAAAAATTTAGATAAGATATGGGTACGGAAATATTTACCTATGCTCTATTTTTACCATTAAGTCATCCCTAAAATCTACTCTTAGAAATAATTTTTTCTTACGATAAATTTGATATTTTTCATAGTTTATAAAAATACAGTTTTAATTTTTACATTTTTGTTGAAAATAGTGGTAGTTGTTCTAATAAATTGCTCTGTATATAAATTTAGGAGAATGATTAGCGAAACGTAAATAATTATAAAGAACTTGATATAAAGAAGACAATATAAATGTTAAAAAATAAAAACAATTTAATTAATTGGGATCTTGGCAAACTGAAAATGTTTGATAATGTTACTTAGTGATAACATCACTAGGGGTATATAAGGGTTTTTTTTCGGTCGGGGTATAAGTATGTATTTAACGTTGATAATGGTAACATTTTCTTGAAATACGTATTCGCGATTTAGTAATTTTTTTTTGTCGCTTTTTCAGTTAATATTTTTTAGTTTTAGATTAGTAATAGTTTTAATTTTAAATAGTATTATCCACATGTGATCAATTTTTTTTAAAGAGAAAGTAGAATTTGATGACTTTGGTCATGTTATGAGGAGAGAGGAATCAGAAGCTGTAAAAACAGTTATAGAAATAAATGCTGAAGGAAGAAGAGTAAGAGGAAGATCAAAAGAGAGATGGAATGATGTTATTGAATGCGATATGAAGACGACTAATGTGTGCGTAGTTGATGCGAGGGATCCTGTCAAGTGGAAGTTCAGTATAAGAGTAGCTGATCCCAAGTAGGATAAAGGCGAGGAAAAAGAAGAAGATTGTTTAAATTTGATACATATAATCTACGAGTTTAATCTAGAAATTAGACATATTCCTATTAAAATGTTTTAGAATAATAGTTAAATCACTTTCATATTTTAATCTATTATAGTTCTCAATATATTGAGTATCAACAATTCTGGATTTTTAAACATGAATATATTCAACATTTTACTTTTATTTACCTTGTTGGCAAATTGCACCCAACACCAACATACCAGTATCCAATGTGGTCATCATTAATGAGGAATGTGGACCAATATTTTTTATCATAGTTGTTATTCTGAAGAAAAATACTATAGCTATCGTAAATAACATAAGTAGAAGTAAAATAGCTATCCAAGTGGTAAAATTAAATGGCAAAAAAAATACATTAAAAACAGCTGACAATGGAGGTTGTTTGAAAATTGCGCTGGTTCTGTCAAATAAAAATCAGTTGAATTATTATGCATCTAATTAAAAATATTCAAAAATATAATTTAAACATTTTGTTCATGTTTAAGTTGTTATTACTGAACGCGATAAGTTGCAACAGTTAATTCTGCTGCCATCATACGATCGAATCTCATCAAAGCTCCAGATGTAGTGAATTCAACTTCACCTTTAACAAGAGAGTTCATCAAACCACTAAAGGAACCATTTTCCAATCGCCATCCATAGTCATTAACTAAGCTTAGGTCGAGTCTAAAATAATTAAGATAAACTATAATATGGCGCTTAAAAAATATAAAGGACACAACTTAAATTGCTGGAGTTGATATGAAATTCTGGATGTAATAAAACTATCATAAACCAAAAATGTATACTTGAACCAAAATGCTTTAAATAATAGACATACAACGCAATTATGGTTATATATTGTTATACGCAATTATATACAACTTTGAAGTAAATTATCTCAAAATGCCAATTTTTTGAGTTGTGCCTATTAAATTCTAGTGGTGTGATATATTATATTAAAATATTATTTAATGCTTACGTAAAATTTAAATGATCAGCCAGCAATGTTACTAATTTATAATGCATATGTGAATATACATCAAGGTTAAATTCTTCTTTTACTCCCCAACCTTTGAAAACTTTAGGTTCTAAAATCTTATTGCATTGTTATAATTAATATGTGTTACGTTTGATATTTATTATAACTATTCAATTTATGGTTATTAAATATTAATATACCGTCGCCTGAAAATGAAATGATTCTAACGCAAAATTTATTATTTTTTAGTAGGATGTTTTTAGCTTCGATACGAAGCTGAGAAGGTATGAAAAGTTTATTTTTTCAATTTAACCTTTGAAAATGGTCCGGAAATACTGCGTCCTTTGAACATATGTTAAATTAAAGCTTATGTTACGTACTATAAATTAAAAGAAAACAAAATTTTCCAATGATTTTGTTCTACGTGCAAATGGCTGCCATAGTTATAAAACATGCTATTTTTGTGTTAAAACTTTTTTTTTTTATTTTAAAATATCGTACAATGGTTTGCCATAGTGACGAGTCCACCAAAAGCTACAGAAATCTAACTTACATTAAATATAATTTTAAACTTATTTTGATTATTTTACATCCTTGAAGACAAGAAAAGCGATATTGAATTTTTGAACTAATTTAAATAGTTATTTTTATCTACTAATTGATGTAGTGTATGATGGCGGCTGCTCGTATATCATAAAGTCTTACACGCTTGGGTTACAAAATTCAAACGCCCCCGTCTAACTATCTTTTTTTGCATTTCTTTCTTAATTTTTATTTGAGATGGAAAAAAATTCAAAATGAATAATAATAAATAAAATTCAATCAAAATATTTAATGAATATCGAGGACCCTATCACTGTAGTTTCCCTTTGTGAGAAGGACTTTTTTATTAATACTAAAATATTTTGCTATATGGTTTATGTGTCTGTTAATTACTATTTTCAGCTCTTCTTAACCAATGTTAATTACCAATACATCAAAAGAACACGTTTTTAATTATGTTGAACTTATGATAATCAAATATTGGAAAAAAATTCTTTAATTTTAATAATTCAGACGAATATCTTAAAAATATGCTACTGTAAAAATTAACCACTTCAAAAGACCTTTTTTTAATTAAATAAAAATCTCCAAATTAAAAAGAGTATAAAATTTTTTTTATACTTAACCCTTGAACAGTCGCGTGGGGGTCTAGCTACCCCCACATAAATAAAAACGGATGTATTATATTGAATAAATGGTGTACATAGATATAAATTTAGAAGATTGTTTTTATAGTAATATTGAATCGATATTCATAAATAAATACCTTCTACAAAAAAAGGCACGCGCCTACTAAAGGGTTTACACAGTAAAATCATATCGCTAAAATGAAATATCTTTTAATGATCATATCCCAATATATACTTTACTAAACCAAAGTTTTCATTTTGATTTTAAGTCTGGGATCAGATATTGTCTCATTTTCATGATTATTATAAATTATAAATTAAGTATTTACACAAAAAAATTAATTAAAAAAAATNCTCATTTTCAAGATTATTATAAATTATAAATTAAGTATTTACACATAAATAATTAATTAAAAAAAATAATATTTATAAGTTATTATTCATTTCAAATATGTTAAAAATAATACATGCAAAATTTCAATTCAAAAATCTATTGACTTATTTTTTTTATTCTTTAAAGTTGATCTTTATGAAAGTTTATAATTTAAGAATATTTAACTTTTAAACACTATTTTTAGTTCAATTCGCAATTTTAGAATATATATCATAAAAAAGAAAATTTTATGAGAAATAAAAATATGTATTTTTTAGATTGATATATGATTACTATGAAATAATTACTATGAACAGTAAATTTATAAGGAAACTCAAAATTTCTTTAAAGTCACTATTTATATTGTGTTATTATTGTAATAAATCATTTAAATAAAAGTCTTAGTAATCATTTCTATGTAACTCTTGGTGTTTAAATAGATGCAAAAATGGAATATTTATATAACTATATTCCTTATAGTTATATCTTATAGCATTCTATAATACACCGATATTCAAAAATATTCCGTGTCTAATTTCAACTATGATTTCTTTCGCTGTTGTGTTGTTGAACTTCATTTTGACCTATATTTTTTGATTAATTTTTTCATGTGAAAATACATTCCTTCTAATTAGTAATAATCTCAAAAGAGAGATTATAGAAAAAAACTAAATGTAAATTTAAAATCAGTGCAAAAAATAGTCCAAGAAATATATATTTTTGATTCTGATGAAAATACCTTGTAGACTGTAGATCTTCTGAAATTTTTGTATCAAGCCCTTTGGCTTTTTATACATGTTTGCCACAAAAGTAACAACTAATTTATAATTTTTTAATAATTTCTCCATAAAAATTACAATACTTAATTATTACATTTCAATTGCTATATATATATATATAAATATTCATATATTATAGTTATAAATTGTAGAATTGCTAATTATGAAAATGCAGGAAATAAGAATTAATTTTGCTTTTGCAATAATCCGCCATTTTTTTTTAATTAAACACTATCTACAGATTTGTATCGAAGCGTTTCTTTCGATAGTGATTTTAATCATTTTCAAATATCATTTATACTTGGGTCAACTATATAACGTCCATACTGTGCTACCGATTTTTAAATAAAATTATTGTAGAGTTATATAGAACTTTTAATTTTTCATTTACTACATTACAACTTAAATTTAAAAAAAAAGCTTACTTACTTTTAACGTATTTATCAAGAATTTTTTTTTTTAATTGCATATGAACCTTTTCATTCTAAGGCGACGAAACAGAATAACCATAAAAAAAAACAAGGTATTTATTAGAGTTACAACTTGGTTATTGGAATTTATTAATATAACTAAAAGTTAATTATAATTTGAAGAAACTTAATAAAAATTTATAAAAATTAAAGCTTAAATTTTGTTTTTATTGTTTATCAAGGCTTTTATCAGGCTATCCGAAGAGAAATTTTCTTAAACATGGATACTCCGGAACGGGTGATTAGTCCATTGTCATAGAGAAGGATGATGACTCCAATCGTTGAACTGATCTGTCGCTAAGCAAACAGAGTCACTTGTGACCTAGTATCATACCTGAAACTATGTGAATCAAGAACTGTTGCATTACCTATTCAACCACATAGTTCCTCTAACAAATTACAATAAGCGAATTAAAAAAAAATTATTTTTCAATTTAATATAACGATTTAATTGTCTAATTATAGTTGAATAATTATATCTAAAACTAAGTGTGATGGAAAAAATTTGAGGTTATTTTCGGAATCAGTGTCAAAATTTCTTATAAAATTCACCTAAATATAGGAGACAAGAAAATGGTTTTTGTTTTGTGTAATGCTTCTTATAACATGATAATGTGTAAACATTTTAACTTACAACTCCAGCTGATTTTATGATAGTTTTTTGCCAATTAAGTCTATTTGGATTTGAATAATTCATTATCACATTAAATTCCATCACTGTTCCGATTTTTGTTACACGAACTTCTTCATTGATATTTGATCGAAAACCATCCCATATTTCCCACACATCTTGACTTACTTTAGTCAATAAATACACCCTAGAATCAGGCAATATTCGAGTTCGATCCATAAACAGTTCAAATATCTCCAATGCAAATCCAACATTATCTTGATCTTTCAAACTTGCACGACTATCAAAAAGTATCCAATCACGTAAAACATTAAATTGACGGTTGATAGATGCCTGGTAGTAAAAGTTAAATAAAATTTATTTTTATGGTTAAATAAAAAATTATACAGTGTTCTGTAAGTAAGGAAACAGGTCAATTATTATAGACAATGAGAAACCTATTTCCTTACTTACTGAACATTCTATACACATGGCGATTCTTTTAATATCAGCAACTAGAATTTTCTTAAATCAATAATTATATTAAGAAAATTAATTTTAGTATATTTTTTAGTCAATTATTAATTTAGACAAAATATAAAGTTATAGTTAATCATAAGCCATTGGTATCTAGAACAATTTTTTTAGTAAACAGCCCCCTTCCTTTTACTATACTCATTGAGTTAAACATTTATAAATTCTCCACTAACTCTTTATAATTAAAACATTGTTTTGTCGTAATATGCCCCTATGCTTAACATTACGCATCTCACATTTATCAATGAAAAATTTATAATCTGTATTTTATATTACTTGTAAACAAACAATTAACTGATCAGTCATAACATATACACTGTTCATTAAAATTTCTTATTATTTATATACAGAGTGGCCCACCACTCACTGACAACTTAAATAACTTTTGATCCAGTTAATATTTTTAGCTGATTTTTTTTTTAAATAATAGTTATACGTTAGGTCTATAGCTATATCTCAATAATTAATTTTTTTACATTTTATTAAAAATATTAATTATTTTTAAATTTTAAATAAAATGTAAAAAAAAAATCTAAGATAGCTATTTTGTAGAGTAGAATTTAAGAAAAATTTTAGTAAAAAAATATCTTATTAATATTCAGTAGTAAATATTCTGTAGCGTTTTGAAGTTTGTGAAAATTTGAATTTTCATGTACTATTTTACGGTATTAAACATTGAAATACGTATTGAGAAAAGGACAGAAGAAAACGCTATCTTTTCATGATTACTGTGTATACATATGATGATAGTGTGTATACATTACAAACTTGGCATAAATACCATGATAAGAAATTAGATAAGGCAATTATTACTTATCACTCTCATTCAAAAGTATATTGAAAAGATAGCGTTTTCTTCTGTCCTTTTCTCAATACGTATTTCAATGTTTAATACCGTAAAATAGTACATGAAAATTCAAATTTTCACAAACTTCAAAACGCTACAGAATATTTACTACTGAATATTAATAAGATATTTTTTTACTAAAATTTTTCTTAAATTCTACTCTACAAAATAGCTATCTTAGATTTTTTTTTTACATTTTATTTAAAATTTAAAAATAATTAATATTTTTAATAAAATGTAAAAAAATTAATTATTGAGATATAGCTATAGACCTAACGTATAACTATTATTTAAAAAAAAAATCAGCTAAAAATATTAACTGGATCAAAAGTTATTTAAGTTGTCAGTGAGTGGTGGGCCACCATGTATATGTCAATTTATCCATTGATAATTGTGCTATCAATATAATAATTATGTAATGTATAATTAAATATAATAAACTAAAAAGATCACTAAAAGCGCTGACAACAATATCCCTGGATTGGGGGTACTATCACACACTATAAAAAGCACTGAAATCCTTTTAGACTCCAGTTCGCTTTCGCCGAATTAAAAAAAAAAAACAATGTGTTGTTGTCGGGTACCTTTTATGCACGTCTTATTTATATACGAAAAGAATTTGTTTTAATCTTGTGACAAAGTACGAATCCGATACCTCTGAGTACATATATATATATATATATATATATATATCGAAAGATTTATCGAATCATCTTATAGCAATTTGTGGAGACAAAATACAAAATAAGTAAATATATGTTATCCCAATTATTTAGAGTTAATAAATCTGAGTAGAGAACGACGAAGCAATAGATCATTCATTATATTAACATTGTAGAATATTATATTAGACTGGTTGTTTAAGGTCTTGTATATAGTCACATTACATGGTATCCCTGAACTGACTTGCCTTTCCGTTGCCCATGTGCATATTATTAGGTACCAACAGACTATATTTTATTACACCTCAGCATAGAGATATTTAATTTATTATTTTTATATCTAATTGTTTTTGTTGTTCTAAAACCTCGGACCGCACAACTCCAATAGAACTCATACATCTTATAATCACCACAATCATTTATATATTTTATTTTAAATTATAACAGTTTTTTATAATTTACTTTTTTTTTTGTAAAATTCTGAATTAAATGGGTTGCTTACCCCACCCATACATATTTATACATTAAGCGGTGTGCTTGACCTAAACTTGAAACAATTAAAATTAAATACTTGATAATTGAATTAAAAAAAAAAAATTACAATATCAAATTATAACAATATGAAAAAGTATTTAAATATTCCATAGTTTTATGAGAAATACGTAACAAAAATGAATACGACATAATTTTTGAATATACTTGTATGATTTACTTTTTTCTTAAAAATCTTTAATAAATTAACTATCGCTATTATTTAAAAAAAATTGCGTGATTTCAAATGTTTATAAAACGATTATATATAAAACATCGAAGTACTATACGAATATTTATCTAAATTTTTAAATATACGTGTATTTTTAATTGATATTTTACTCATTTTAATAAAAATCATTAAAATATTACTTTTATTTGAAATATAGTATCAATTTTAATTAAAGTTAAGCAATATTTTTTTGTAGTACATTAATAATTGATATAATAAAATAAAATATTGGTCTTATTTTTTTTTCTTTGACATAAAAACCATTTTATGTGACATATAGCAATCAATAAATTAACTGAGCCGTAATTTCTAAAACGAAAATTATTCAAAAATATATAAAAATATTTGTGGCAAAAGCCACCAAAAAAAAAAAATAAATAAACTGCAGATATGTATTAAGGAAACAATGTTACTGTTATCAAAGCTATCTGATCGAAAAATACTCCCTTATATACCCCTAGTCAACTTATCACTTAGTAGTGTTGTCGCTAGGTAATGTTATCAGGTAATTAATTGATGAAACATCACTTTGTGTAATAAATTTTACATTTTACTAAAATTACGTACTACTAATAATGATTGCATACTTAATGTCTTATTTTTGATAATGAAACTCCTAGTATAAAGAATATTTCAATAAAAATTTACCTCTTGAAGTATTTTAGCTGATAGTTTGCAAGACAAATCAACTATTGTTCCAGATCTATACCAGACATCAAAAGGTTCGTGAATGGCTTCATCTGTTTTAAAAGTCATTGACATGTCTTCACCCGAAAGCTTCGTTAGTAGTTCGACGTTCATTTCTAATTTTAGAAAAGACAGTTAAATATTATTATAAATATTGCTTAGTAAATTAGAATTGAAATTAAATATATGAATGTTATGATAAATCATAATTTGAAACAAAATTATAGTGACGAATAATTTATAATAATTTATATGGTCTTAGATCATTTTTTATCTTACAATTTCATTTTTGTAACATACAATTGGATAAAAATTGGAAATTTAATTTTATTGAACTTATAATTTTTAATTGTTATGAATATATTTTCAGTTGATTAGAATCTATGTATTATAAACATTAAAATATAATATTTTTTCACAGAGATTTAATTACATTATGTATTGATGTATAGTTAGACTTATGGTAAAATATTCCTAATTAAAAAGTAAAGTGGCTAATTATAGTGTTGATATATTTAATTAATTACTTACCCGTATTCCAACAGGTAGACGTACATACAGTATTAACTTTCATATATTTCAGCACATTTACTAACACTAAAATTAAATCATTCTGATCTTTGCTGATGACCGGAAATATGATAATTATAGGCAATAGATAATTTAAAAATTCCATACTTTTATGTGGTATACATAAAATAAATGAATATTACTTAATTGTTGAATATTCTTGTATGATTAACTCTTTTATTTCATATAATCTTTTATAAATTAACTATCGCTGTTATTTAAAAAAGGTTGCGTGACTTCAAATGTTTATAAAACGATTATATATAAAACATCAAAGTACTATACGAATATTTAGCTATAAATAAATTTAATTCGATGAAATTTATATTGTTAAGAGAAGTAAAAGTTTAAAAATTGCTTTTTGTATTAAATAACTTCAAAATATAATACAAAATACTTAATATTGATATTATTTTTAATATAAATGTATTTTTTTATTAATATTATAGTTTTTTAAATAAAAATCATTAAAATATTGCGCTGGTTTGAAATATAGTATCAATTTTAATTAAAGTTAAGTAATATATAATTATAGTACATTAATAATTATTAATAAATTATAATTGATATAATAAAATAGAATCTTGGTTCTATTTATTTTTATTAACTTAAAAAACGATTTTTTATGTGTTATATTTAGATAATTTATTCTAGTTCGTTTTATTAATGATACTTTTACTATCTGATATACAATTAATTTTATATAATAATTTTATAATAGTTAATAATTTTTTATGTGTACTATCTGACTCTAAGAAGTTAAATTTATCTACTGTTAATTTAGAAATAAATAACTACTAAAACAAAATGTGTTTCGTTTGTTTAAAAACCTCCAAAAAAAAAAAAATTGTTTTATTTTTTAAATACTTTTCAATACTAACATCTAACTAAATACATTTTCTTATAGTAAATTACAATGATTTCCATTTGAAATTAATTATTTCTAAAAATAAAATAACTACAGATACTAATATACCATATCCAAAGATTTTTAAGATTGGATAAATATCTTTAATTGATACACTAACATATTTTAGAGATCTTCGTGATGTACATGTTGGCTTTTGCGCAGACCATTGATTAAGTATTCGTCGCCTAACTCCAACTTCATATTGTTGTATTAATCTTAATAAAAAAAAATATACCCTTAATTAGTAATACTTACTTTTATAATTGAAAGCATACAAAAAGTTTAATTACATTTTAGTTACTTAAGAAATTTTTTTATGTTTCATGGTACCTGTAAAATTGTAAAACGAGGATCGCCAAGTTATTTGTTGAGATATTAAGTTAGACCAGAATAGGATATAAAAAAATAAGAAAATTCACAAATAAGTTAAGCTAATTACTCTATTGAGTGAATAAAAATAAATTTAAAAGTTTTCATTATCAAAGTATTTTTTTTAGTTAAATTACATATTTATTTGCTTTGCTAGCCGATTTCTCCTAACAGAAATTTGTTGAGCACTTTATTAAATATTATAGTTCATTTTATAAGCTTCAATTTGGAAAGTGTGTAGGTTGCTTGTTCAAATTATTCTTGTACGCATGTTTTCTTTTGTATATTCATGAATAGCATATCAATAGACAGTATGTTGTCTCTAGTTTTTATGTTATAATATATATATAAATTTTACTCTTCGATTAAAAAATTATTGTGAGCTTAAAATGCTGAAAAAATTTTGATTTTTACAATATTCCTCGGATAGCTAATTTTGAAATACTTTTCTAAATTCCTAAAATTGAACATTTTGTTTTATTTTTGGCGCTGAATGGTTCGACTTTTTTAAGGTGGGCCTCTAAGTCGGCCCAATGAGAACTGAGTTTTTATATGGTAAACTCTCAAAAAGACATATATTCAAAATCAATGCCTTCTCCGCTTTGCATCGAAACGAAAATGTATTGAATTTAAATGTGTATTTATTTTATTTTAAGATAAATACAAATTAAAATTTTTTTTTTTAATTTTCCTTGTGGATAGGGTATAAGAATACTTCCACGGTCCCTCTGTTAGTCGAAAGAGGTGACTAATGAGGTTGTGTCAGATCGACAGCCGGCGTAAAAATTTTTGTCAAAAAAAGTATGAGGAATCCTGAACAAAACTTAGGCTGATTGTCCCATTTCGGATGTACGCGGAGACAACAGAAAGCAGTTAAAAAAAGATAGATACAAAGTAAGAATAGGTACTTGGAATGTTGGAACATTAACTGGTAGAAGTGGAGAATTAGTAAAAGTATTGAAGAGGAGAAAAGTTAACATTTGTTGTGTGCAGGAAACTAAGTGGAAAGGAGAGAAATCAAGAGAAATAGGTGAGGGTTATAAAATAATATACTCAGGTAAGTCTAGTACAAAGAATGGTGTAGGGCTAATAATGAATCAGGAGATGAAAAGTAGAGTAGTAGAAGTAGCGAGGAAAAGTGACAGAATTATGGTCGTAAAATTGATATTCGAAAAAAAAGTACTGAATGTAATAAGTGTCTATGCACCACAAGTGGGATGTGATGAAATAGACAAGAGAGTGTTTTGGAGAGAGATGGATGAGGTGATGCAAAGGGTAACTGGCAATAAGAATGCGGTGATAGGTGGAGATATGAATGGACATGTAGGTAATGAGAAGAGAGGATATGAAAGAGTACATGGAGGATATGGTTTTAGTGGAAAGAATGAGGCTGGAGAAAGAATACTGGATTTCACAGTATCGTATGATCTTGCTGTGGTTAATACTTATTTTAGAAAGAGGGAAGAACATTTTATAACATATATGAGTGAGAGGAATAGATCACAGATCGATCGATTACATAATGGATTATTTTATGTGGAAGAGAGAGAGCGTAAAGCGAGTAAAAGATTGTAAAGTTAACAAGGAGAGAGTATAACTACACAACATAGACTGATGGTAATGGAGTTGTGGAGTACCGGAAAGAGAATAAATAAAAATAGAAGAAACACAAGGGAAAAATCGAAGATTCGATGGTGGAAATTGAAAGGTGAATATGAAAAAGAGTTTGTAAGGACGGTAAAAGAGAGAATGATGTGGAATGTCGAGGGAGACATAAATGATGTGTGGAATAGATTTGCTAGTTGTGTAAAGAATACTGCAAAGGAGATTGTTGGCGAGAGTAACAGTAAAATGACAAGAAACAAGGAAAACTGGGGGTGGGATGAGGATGTTCAAAAAATCATAGAAAGTAAGAAAAAGCAATACAAAGTATGGCAGAAGAGCAATAGGAGAGAAGACTGGATGGAGTATAAACGTTTGTGCAAAGAAACCAAGTGTGCAGTAAGTAAGGCGAAGTTTAAGAGGTATGATGAGTTGTATGATAGGCTAGGAACAAAGAAAGGCAAGAAAGAAATCTATAGACTTGCAAAGATAAGAGAGAAAACGTCTAAAGATTATCATTATATAAGGTGTATAAAAGGTGTTGATAATAAGGTATTCCCGAGTGATGATGATATAAGAATAAGTAGGAGTAAGACAGAGTATATAGAGTACGAGTTTGATAAAGGAGAACACGAGATAGGTGAAATAAGAAGACCAGTGACAATAGGCGAGGACGTTATTGGAGAGGTGGAAAGTTTTAAGTATTTAGAATCAGTTGTGCAAAAGAGCGGAGGTATTGACGAGGATGTAAGACATAGGATTAAGTGCGGGTGGTTGAAGTGGAGAGAAATGTTTGGTGTGTTATGTGCTAAAAGAATTCCAATGAGGCTGAAAGGTAAATTTTATAAGACTGTAGTGAGACCAGCAGTGTTGGGCGGTTAATAAGAAAGTAGGGCAGAGAATGAGTATAGCAGAGATGAGAATGCTTAGATGGATGAGTGGAGTGATTAGAAAAAATAGGATAAGGAACGAGTATATAAGAGGGAATATAGGTGTTGCGTCAAACATAGATAAGATGAGAAAAAATAGACTTAGATGGTTTGGTCATGTTATGAGGAGAGAAGAATCGGAAGCTGTAAGAACAGTTATAGGAATCAGTGTTGAAGGAAGAAGAGGCAAAGGACGAAAAAAAAAGTGATGGAGGGATATTATTGGAAGCGATATAAAGACAGATGGCTGATGTGAGCGTAGAGGATGTGGGAGAACATGTCAAGTGGAAGTTTAGGTTAAGGGTGGCCGACCCCAAGTAGTTGGGATTAAGGCGAGGAAGAAGAAGAAGAAGATTTATTTTAAAATAATAAGAAAACCCCTATGAACACATTCAGTTTAAACCCTATGACTGATTAAAATTTGGAATGTTGTAGTGCACACAGAAAAAACCACTGTGTGTTACGAGTATCGTGGATAAAAAGAAACTTTTTTCGTTATGAAGATATTACGTGAAAATTGCATCTATTGTGGTTCTTTAAAAATTTTTTATGCATAATCAAAATTATTTCAAATTAAATTATTTAATATATTTTAAATAAAATTACTTTAATTTTCGAAAATACAGTGCTAAATTATAATATAAAATATACTTTACAACCGACCTTGACACTTAATTATCTGTTTTTTTTATGGAGGGTAAAATCACAAGCATTTCTGACTCTGCTTATTTCTTGAAAACCAACATTGACACCGACTAATTCGATGGAAAAGATTTAATGAGTGGTTAAAGTCAGGTCAAAATTATTAAAATTAAAGATAATGATATATTAAGCCCATTCTGGATAATTTAATAGATAGTAACATGTTATTGACGTTTAGAAGAGAGCAATACAGGGTGAAGAGTAGTGTTTACAAACTGAAATCCGTTAATCTGTACGTCAAAGTAAGATTTTAGGCACAGCTGACACAGAAACAAGCACAAACATATGACCATAGTTGTAAAAAATACTTTTAAAAAGTATTTTAAATAATACTCAAATATTTAAAAAAAAATGTATTTAAAATACTATTTGAATACTTTTCATACAAAAGTATTTCAAATACTAAGAATACAATTAAAAATTAATAATAATGTTTTTATTTTAACTAAGAGCAAAAGGTTCCGCCTAAATAATTACCAAGAAGGTAATTTGAGTCAAATATTAAGTACTCTTAAATTAAGAGAACTCATTTATTATTTTCGATATTTTTTGTTAGAGGTAAATAAAATTAATTATTGGAGACTAATCAGTGAAAAAAATAAATATTAGTACACGTGTAAAAACCTGTAAAGTATGTCTTATTGACAATAGAGTAAATCATTTGAACCTGCAATAGGCTATTGTAGGTTCAACTGATGTATTAAAAATAGATGTATACATAATAGCATTTAGATAAGCACAATAATTATGTTATACTATAATGTAACATATAAAATAACAGAGAATTATTCTTAATTTTCATTTTGACAGAGTTTAATTTGCTTGCTGTGTTACGGTTAGCAAATTAGAAAAAAAAAGTATATTAATAGTACTGAATATTAAACAGTATTAAATACTAAATAATTGTATTTAAAATACTACTCAGATACTTTTTATTAAATGTATTTAAAAATACTATTCAATACCAATGAAAGTATTTGAATACTTTTATTCAAATACATTTACTCAAATGCTTTACGCCTTTGCATATGACACATTTTTAAAAACAAGAAAACTCCAAACACCATCTTAATACGTCGAAGGCTCAATCAAGATAAATAAAATTACACAAATATAACACAAAAAAATGAAGGGGTACCTTTTTTTTAAATAACATAATATATATTATAAAGAAAGCGTATACCTTATTATTATGATTCAACAACATATACCTAAAATTATATCTTAAACTCTATTTCAGTTAAAACCAAAATTATTACTTTTGTTTAAAAATATCAAGATGTCCAGACTTTTTAACTACAGCCACTGCTAAAGGAGGTAATTTAAACAATTCAATATCAGACAATCCACATTTTTCTTCTGCTCGCCAAGTTTTACTAATTAAATTATAGGCTGATGTTTGCTCTACCTAAAATTATATTTTTTAAAAAATGATTCATTCGAAAATATATTATTTTTCAAACCATAAATCCGTGAAATTCAGTACGAATACGTTCTATTCCTTCAGGAGATTCGGTAAATGGCCTGATTTCTTTTTTTTTCATTTTATGTTCATACAAACGTTTTATAAATGTATCTTCTGTTTCCTTAAAAAAAATATTATACTTAATTTAAAATTATTATACACAAAAAATTGCATAAAAATATATAACTATTGTTTAGTTTTATTTTCATTCAGGGAAGCTGACATCCTTTTCTCTTATTTTTTTCTTTAAATATTTACTGGTTTCGTATATAATAAAAAATATGAAAAAAAATGTATAACAAGTAGCTTTTAATCCAAAAGGGGAATTTTAAATTAATGCTTGAGCCTGTATAAGCTTCTATTGATTCAAGCCGAATATAAATATACTTCTAAATCAACTATTTAAATTAAATAACTATAATTATTTTAACAATCAATACTTACAATCGTATAGCATCACTATCAGCTTTTTTGTTTTAAGTTATTTTATTAATAATAATAATAATTGAGCAACTTACATTAAAATAAATTTTACTATACTGAGTACTTTGAGCACTAAAAGTCATTTCAGACTCAACAATATCTCGAACAGTTTTAATGGAATCACTGGCCGACTGTAACAGTGCAACAATGCACGCTGAATATGATGTGTATAAGAATACAGCAGTAAAAAACATTATAAAAATAGTTAACCGAATAGAAATTGTATTAGGTAATGCATATGCACCTAAATTAATTTTTTTAATTTAATCAAAAACTAATTCAAAATGTATGTTATTATTTCTGCGGCCTACAAACAAGAGCTGATAATTGAAAGAAAAAATTTTACAATTTTTATTGAGAAGTATGTTCTATAGTGTATATAAATTGCGAGTCAATTTCATCGAGAAGAATTGTTTTTATAACTTCAAAAATGAAGATTAACATAAGATACTTTTGAGATTTGTTTTTTTTTCTCTTGAAAGTTGTCTAATATTGACATATGAGCTTTTGTAAAATAGCCACAAATTTTCAATTTGAATATTGGATAAATAATTAACTAACCTTGTTGACATATAGACCCGTAGACTATTAAAATTGTTTCCAGAATGCTCAAAGATGTAGTTTTTACGGGACTCAGTCTGTCTGTTATAAATGTTAAAACGACAATAATAATTATAAATGAAATAAATGTTATGAGAATTGCTATCCAAACTTCTGAGTCGAACGGCAGTACAAAAATATTATTTATGCTAGAAAGAGGGGGTTGTTTAAACAATGCACTGCTTCTAGAATAAAAACACAAAATATATTAATTTTGATGTTGGATGAACAGGAGTTTAAATTTTTAAGGATATAGAAAAAAATGTATTATTTGTATCATATTAATCGCTTATAAGTAAAAGTAGTTCACACTAGTAAAGTAATTATTTGTTGACCAGGAAGGCTCCAATGACTTAACCAGTTTATTTATTTCGTTGGAGAGTCTTTTAAAAATTTATTTTTAACAATAGTGTAGTTTTATTTTTTCCTTAACAAATTTTGTTTTTTTTTTTCAATATTATCACTTAATTGCTGAAAGGCAATATTTTGGCGATAGTCGAAGTGATAGTAAATTAATTAGGTTGTCATGTTGTAAATTATGTTATGATTGAAAATTAAACTTATGTTAAATATTATTTTACCTTACGTCAACTGTCCCCAACGTATAATCAATTACATTCATCCTATCTGGTCGTATAAAAACTCCAGCTAAGCTAAAATCAATTTCTTCTCTTTCTAACATACCTGTAAGACCTCCAAATGAACCATTTTCTGCAGACCAGCCATAATCATTAACATAGGAAATGTTGATTCTATAAATTAAGAATAAGTATAATATTGTATAAAACAGTATTTTTCTGTAAGTACTTGAAATTTAGTTGATTGGACAACAGCATTGACATAGCATAATTAATATGAGCAAAATAATCTAAATCAGAACTTTTAGTTACGTTAAATCCATAGAAATGTTCAGGGTCTATTATCTATAAATGAAATTTATAAAACTATGTTTTTTGAAGCTATGTAATAAAAACTGTTCTTTTGTGGTTAATATTATATAAAATTAAAACTATAATAAAAATATTCAATTCAAAAAGCCACAATAAAATGATCAATAAATCGGGAATTTCGGGAGCACATATTAAACACATACTGATACCTTGACCGGAAAAACCCTTACAAACCCCTAGTGACCTTAAAACTTAATGTTTCTTAAGTATTCTATAAACCTGAACCATATATTTTTTTTTTGCTTGTTCTATGTAACATTTATTACAAATTTCTCATTGTATTTTATAAATGCTCAATTCTCTTACTTTATCTTTAGGGTTACCTAATAAATATCTTTAGTTATTTCTTTTAGATGACACTAAAGTCATACCAAAATTATTAAAAATTCTAGTTAGTCCATTTGAGATGCCCGGATAATATAAAATGGGTGATCTTACTATGGAATTACTTTTTATTGCTCCATGCTAGTGAATGTACTAGCAGCCCTTTCTTTTTATTTCACATCTAATCTGTAAACCATTCTATTAAAAGCTGCCATTGTATGTTACCAACTGTGGTTCGAATTGTTTGGAATGTACCTGATCGTGTGTACATAGTATTAAATTTCAAAATTTAGTTGCCCCTTTACTTTTTTAACTAATAAGTCCAAAAAATGGTAATTTTCCATCTACTTCCTATCCTATGTAAGTATAATCTTCGAGTTATAAGAATCAAAATGTTATAAGAAGACCATCGTATTAAATTTTTGTTTATTACTGCAAAAATATCATTTACATATCTAACGCAAATTTTTGTAGAATCACCTTAGGTTTTAAATTTGTTTCAAACTTACTCATGAAAAGTATTCTTAAAAATGGTAATGATAGCGGATTACCTTTTTGCTGTGCCCTTAGTTTATTTATAAAATTAAATTTCAAACTGAAAAACATTTTGACCCATACATAACTCTGTTAAAATAATAAGCTCATTTATTTTATCCTGTTCTATGTTTTGTTCCTTTTTTTTGCCAGTCTTTAAGTAAACCAATTGTTATATTTATCGGTATACTCGAAAATAAGGCTACTACTACGTCAAAAGAAATAAATCTATCATTATTTTGAATAGTTTAACCAGATATTTTTTGAGCTAAGTCAATATTATTATTAACTGAAAAGATATCGAATTTTTGAATAGATTAAAATACCCTTACTAAGTATTTAGCCAAATTGTAAGTTATTCAACACAATAGGTCTCATGTTATTTCCTAACTTAATAATATTTGGCAAAGAATATAGTTTAAGTATTTGTGGGTTTGAAATTTTTATAAGAAACCTGAACTTTTCTTCAATTATTTTGAGCTATTGACAACGTTTTTGAAGCTATTAAATGTTAGCATCTCATCATATTTGTAGTTACCAACCACTGTTGTTGCTTTGAGCGTGATTCCTCCAAAGTCCATTCTTTCTGAATTAAGATTATCCAGCTCTATTTTTTGTGTGGTTGCTTTACCTATTTTAAATACTCTAATTTTAGCTGTATTACTTGGCCGAAAACCGTTCCAAATTTCCCAATAATTCTGTTCAGTTTTAATAAAAAAAAAAACTCCAGAGTCCGGCAATATATATAATTTTTCAAGGTATATTTGATATGTCGCTAATGCAAGAGTATCAGTTAAAGGTATATTAATTTCTTTTCTATTGTCGATTAATACCCAATCATTTTGCATATTGAAATTACGAGACCTTGAAGCCTAATTATATAGCAAATACATTAATTTTGCTAATAAATTTCACATTAAAAATAAAAAAATTCATCATATAAAGTTTATAACTGATTGTAGTTACATTTTCTAATACCATTAAACTTTGGTCGCAAGACAAATCGACTAAATTTCCTTGTCTGTACCAAGTTTTGTAATGTTTATATGATGATGTGTGAAAGGAAATTGATATATTATATGATGAAAATTTTAATAACAAACTTCTTTGGAAACCTAAAATAAAATTTTACCCAAGGTTAAAAAATTGTAGCATAGCTATTTTAAAGTAATAATTATTTTTTATTTTGTTATATATAATTATATTATTGAGTTAACACTGTATAAATTGAAATTACTTGTTGGCCAACATGTAAAAAATGTGATTGTTGGTACATGTCTTTGAATAAAAAATGTATGTAATACTTGAAATAAATCATCCACATTTTCATATGACCAAGTGATTTGTAAAATTGTAAAAAAAATCAAAAAATAAATTTTGAACATTTTAAAAACTTGTAAACGTATACCGTTCTTGGTCAGTTTATGTTAATGTAATATTATCCAACGACTAATTGAAAAAAATAATATCCTCATAAAATAACTAGGTCGAAGTCGAATAAACTTCAAAGGTTTGACTTGTTAATTTTGTTTGTTTTACGTTTTATATTAATTCACGAAAAACATCCATTTATAACATCGACTAAAATTCAATAATGAATATTTATGCCAACATAGGTCATTAAAACTAGATATTCATTTTAGCTAATGCTCATTCAAGTAAATTTTTTACTTGAACCTCTAAATTTTTAAATATTAAATTATAAGTATCTGTTTTTTTTTTGGTATTAATTCTGAATAAGCCGGTTAAAAAAAATTGTTCACATTTGATAAAAAAAAAAAAATAATAAAAACATCAACAACAATGACAAAAACAAAAACAGCGATAACGATAAAAACAAAAGAACAACAACAGAAATAATAATAATAACAAAAATTACAAAAACAAGCGAAATCGACAGTTTAGTTCCAACTTCTGACTTGAAACTAATGCTCCGAAGATGAAAACTACAATAAGTTATGTATATATATATATATGTAAGCGGGATGATAGATTAATCATATATCACTCGATTACTCTTAAAGTAAATACAATATTGAAAAAAATGATTTGCATTTTTTATTTTTATATATTTCTTGATATATTATCTAATAATTATTTATTAGAATTATCCTTTATAACTTATAGGGTTGTTAACTTCATTTTTAGACGCATGTAGTTTATAAAGCCACAGCTAAGAAATCGAGTTTTCACATAATATAATATATAAAACAATTTTTATCGTTAAATTTTTTTTTAATTATAAGACTCATCATTATAATATTAATTAATCTACTTTTTTCGTATCATAATCGTCACTATCATAATATGAAATAACAGTGGGCTGCTCTGTTTGTGTCTACAATAATAGCCGTTCATTTAAGATTATTAACACTTTTATTTATAAATTATATTCATAGAATAACATGATTGTTTTTCTTTAAGAAATTCATAAACTATACTTGTCAGCTCTTTTTACTCTTATCTTAATAATAAAACAGAATGTGTAAAACCCTTAACTTATATATAAAAAGATGATTTTTAACTGCACAATTTCCATACCTTGAAAAATAGTTAACTTTTGTAATCTGTGATTGAATTTGTATTACATAGTTATGATTTTATGATATTATTACTATATTCAGTCAACATTTTGAGTTCCATTATTATAATAATTTACGATTAAGTGATGACAATTTTTATGATAAATTTTTTTGCATTTAATCTAAAAGTATAACATTAGCAAAAGCTGTGCATGTATTAACTCGTTAATATTCAGTTAATTAAAAAAAAGTCATTGAGTTTTGAGTTAAAGTTAATCCGATTTTTTTTAGTAAATTAAGTATAAAGTTAAATTAACAAATTCTTTATAACATGACGGCTTTTCTTAAATTAATGCAAGTATTAGCAGGTTTGCTAAAATATCATAGTCTTAAAGTAAAAAAATTTTTAAGATGTTAATTTTTTTCTCTTCTAAATTTTTTAGCTTTGATGTGAAACATCAAATCATTAATTTTTCTATAATGTATTTACTTATTATACATAAAGCGTGATTTTTTTTATCATAACCCACTCAATTACTTATAAATAAATGAGTAAATACTTAGAATAAATGTAATATAAACATTTTTTTTTTTGGTTACCTTTAGTTACACATTATTAAATTCAAAATATATATTCCCATTAAAAATAACAAAGTTGACACCCTTACAAGGCATAAAGAATGAACTTAAAAAGTATTATATAGTTAATAATTCAAGAATAATGTGTAACTAAAGGTAACCAAAAAAAAAAAAAAATGTTAAAATTATATTTATGCTATAAATAATTGAGTGGGTTACCCGCAGGAGGATCTGTAAGTAACAACTTCGTGGACCATAGTTAATTCACTGGAGGTGGCAACACGTATCACTGCTTTTAGCTGGTCATGACTCTGGTTAGTTGGGATTGGTAGGCCTTAGCATACCTGCTTGCTCACAGCGAATATGCCCCCCCTAACCCAGCCATATTAAGTGAAAGGGATGCTAACTTGTCACAGTGTGGTTAGCCGAAAGGTAAAGTGACCATTGGGATCATCTATGACACCTGGCGTATCATAGAGTATGCAGCCTTATCACAGTATCGAGCTCTGCAGTGATGGACCTTTATTGATCGATTTTGGAACGAACAGGGATACTACGGACAACCTGTCAGAACAAGATGGTGAACTAGCGGCTCTTTGCAGAAGAATCCACAAACTTGAAAGTCTCAATGCGAACAACGGGACACTTAATGAACCGTCTACTAGCAAATGTATGGGCCAATACAATCTTTTTTCTAATTTTAGTATATATATATACTTTTCATTCCACATACTTTCTTTAATAACCTTATTATACATAATATTTGTAAAAAAAAGAGCACAAATTGTATTTAGCTGAAGATTACCCTCAAAAATTTAAATAATTTCCTTGGTTCCTTGAAATTGGGAAAATCCCAAAACTTAACATTAGATAATGCTACGAAAATACTCTGAGCTTTAAATATATGTTTAATTAAAACATATTAAATATGTTCCATACTATGAGTTTAAAAAAAATGATCTCAACAAATTGCCTTCTATGTGTAAACGAAATTAAAAATAAATGTTATTTTGAAGTAAATATCATCGTATTTCGTGTTGTTATAATTTTCTATTGCAATCATATTTCAATTATGTATGCCTATATGTTAGAGTAGGGGATAAGCATCCCATTTAATGCCACGTANTCAATTACGTATGCCTATATGTTAGAGTAGGGGATAAGCATCCCATTTAATGCCACGTATTTGAAATTTAACCCACCCTCAAGTGTTAAAACCTAGACTTTCTTATTGTTGTTTAGATGCTTTATTTTAATTTGTCTCTCAAAAATTTTACCTTACGCTTTAAAATATTTAATTAATGAGCTATCAGAGATATATTTTTGGAGTATAAACACTATACCGATGACAAAGACTCCTGGAACGATGTAATTTTTTTTATTAAATGAGCTATGGAGAGAAAATTATATTACGGTAATTACAAAACTGTTCACCTTATATATAATAAATTATATATTTATTTTATTATATGGTATAAGGGAGAAACATACATAATATATTATTATTGATAAATTGAGAAAAACATGTACAGTAAGAACAACAAAGAAAAAAAAAATGATTAGTATTATTTTTATTTCACAATAAGTTAAGAGGTTTATAATGACAGAATAACTTTGTGTAAATCAGTGCTTGAAGTTAAGTATAGTTAAGAAATATATAAATTGTCTAGAATTTGTAAAACTATGTATTCAAATTCAATTTTTTTTTAAAGTAGTATTTTTCTAAAGCTAAGATTAATACAGATATAAAAATACCAAGTAAAAATATTTGAAAAATTAGATAAACATCTTTTATTGATACGCTGACGAATTGATTAGCTCTATTAAACGATTCGCAAGCTGGTTTTGGGGTAACCCATCTTTTAATTATTCTGTTTTTAATTCCAACTTCTTGCTGCTGTATTAACCTAAAAAATTCATGTAAAAATGACGACATCCAATTTTGATACTGGTAGGATAGTATGACCTAGTTGGTAACGCAGTAAGGAGAGTTAGAAACTTGACTATAAGTAGTTTCAATTGCTGAGTAATATATTAATTCAATAATTGTTGAAAAAAAGTTACTAATATAACCACTTTAGGATAAGTTGTCAGACATATTATTAATGACTTCTTTACTCAAATAATCTATGGAAATCTTGTTATGAAAAACCATATACGGTTTTACTATTTGTACGTATAGTTGGTTTTAAACTTAAACAATTAAATTTTAAATAAAATACTAGAAATATGACTAAAAATATTATTTACTACACTAATTCTTTCCGGAAGCTTCATAACAATTCTTATCTCATAAAAATCAAAAAAAAAAAATGATTAAATTTTACATTTTAAAAATTTTGTGTGAAGTACAAACCTAGATAATTGCGTTATTTATTATTTTATTGTATTACATCAGTTTTACATTGTCGTCAAATGTTGCGGTGGTTACCCTGGAGTAGTTAAATATCTATTATAGTTTTAATAGTATCAATCAACAACACTAGTCAAACATTTACAAGTGTTGTTAAGAAACATGAAATATTTATTTACAAAAATTAAGAGATGAAATCTGTAATATTAAACTATACCAAGTTGACCGGTAGTTAAGTTATTTAACCAAACATTTTTCTATTTACAAAAAAAAGTTTGACTTTCTATGTGTTCCCACAACAAAGATCAACGTTGGGAACACTGTTTGGTGCTATCATCACCGATACACTGTTAGTAGGATTAAGAGAAAAATGTGGTTTTCTTCAATACCCCCATAAACTGCACACAAGAAACAAAGGTAAAGAAAAATGATGGTCTTTTCCTTTTTGCGTTATACATTAAAAAGTCTCAATATACTCATATATGAAAAGGTAGGCATACAAATTGGAGTGACAAAATAAATACTTATAAATTATATTTATAAGTTGGACTATATTCGATATAATCTAATGGATATAGGAATATGTGCGAACCTGACATAGAGGGTCCTTATTATCAAGAATTGGCAAGAGGAAAATGTTGAATGATGAATAACATTGCAATCTTCCCTCCATTTCTTATGAGCTGTATTAATAAAATATTTAATAAATATATATATTTTTTACTTTGTATAGGACATAATTGATTTATTTAAGTTCTGATTTAAAAGACCCACAAGAAAAACCTTTGTGTCAACACAATGGAATATGAATGTTTAACTCAAAATTGATCATCATGTGTACCAATTAATTCATTATCAAAATAGTTAATTATTTTAAGAGTATATACTTTTGCTTAAATAAATCCTTGTAACCAGATTTTTTAATTACAGCCAAGGCTAAAATTGGTATTTTGAAAAATTGTACGCTTGACAACCCGCATTTCTCCTTTTCGTGCCAAGTTTCGCCAATGAGTTTGTATGCTGTTATTAACTCAACCTGAAACAATATAATTATTTATAATTTAAAAAATATCCATTGTAAAGCGTTTTTTAGAATTTCTCTTACAACGAAGCCATGAAATTCAGTTTGAATTCTATTAAGGCCTTCAGTAGCATTAGTGAATTTTTTGTCACCACTAGGTTTCATTTTATTATCAAACAATTTTTTAACCAATGGATCGTCTGTTTTCTAAATTTTAACAACAAAATAGATGTTTACACTATTTTTTCAACGACAGATCTTAAATATTCACAATAAGGAAGTAATGTTGACGGATTATATTTATTGTAATTGATTTTATTTATGTTTTATGAATATTAAATTTTATCAGTGTCACTTATTCAATATTATTTTAGCTTCGATGCGAAGCTGAGAAGGTATTTATTACTATTTTGGGATTTTTTTTTTTTGTGATTGTTACCACTTTTTCTCAGCTCTCAATGAATCGATTTTTTTCAACGATACGTCAAAAGATCATACGTTGTATCTAGTCAAAGATATTACCCTCAAAATGGAATAATTTCACTCGTTTCCCGTAAATGGGAGAAATCTTCAAAAAAATTACAAATTTAAAAATCGCTAATTTTCGACAGTTTTTAAGCTTTTTTGCTTTAGATCTACCATAACTTTTTTAAAAATGACTAAATCAATATAAATTTTTTTTAAAGATTTGTAAAGAATTTAACTATTATTATGTATACTTTGTTTTATAAATTTGACCCTTTACCTATCCACAGGAGGAGATTCAAAATGACAACTATTTCAACTTAAATTATGAAAGTGTTCCGGAAATACTGACACTTATATATATATTTTAAATTAAAGCTAATGAATATAATTTATTATGGAAAATTTTTGGACTTAATTTTGTCTTCACGGTGAAAATGGCTACCGTATGCTATTTTTGTGTTAAAGTTCTTGATATTACATTTTACATTACCTGTAAAACTTACCTCAAAGTATGGTTCGCTATACGGACTTATCTGAGCACTAAACGTCATAGAAGACTCAACAATATCTTCAACTGTTTTAATCGAATTACTAGGGGATTGTAACAATGCAACTATACTTGCAGCATATGAAGTAAATAAGAACACCGTGGTCACAAATAAAACAAAAATTGATATTTTCAAAGAAATTGAATTTAAGTTGATTGAAAATCCTGCAGTATAAATATAGTAAAATTAACTATTTAGTGTAATCATATATAAAACAGTGATGTATTTAACACATTTTTCATTTTTTAAAGGTTAGAAATACGCTTGCTAGAAGAAAGTGCTAAGTACGTGATTGGTATAAAAGTTATACCTTGTTGACAAATGGCGCCATGAACAAGAATAATTGAATCTAAAATTGACATAGATCCTGCTGGATTTTTATCAAATAATTTAGTTATACGGTTCAAACATATAATAACAATAATGAATCCTAGGAATATGCAAAAAATCGCCAACCAAACATCAAACTTAAACGGTAAAATGCATATATTATAAACACTTGACAATGAAGGTTGTCTGTACAATGCTGCAGCACTAAAAATAAAAATTTTCAAAAATCGATCACTTCCAATAAATTGTATTTATTTAATTTGAGTAACAAAAAAGTTTTTGAAGTATCAATTTTGAACATAGACTCAAAATTGATTTAATTTCATTTCATACTCTTCAAGAAATTTCACGATCTTGTCTTACATTTTTCATTGCTAGTTAAAAAGTTTATAAATCCATAATTAGTACTTATGTAACGAATTATTCAAAATTCAAATTATACGTTAGCCCTGTCTAAGGAAGTAGCCATTAAAAACAATTTTTTTTATTTTTAACTACATAAACTTCATTATTATAAAACTATTATATAATTATGTTATTATTAAATAACATAATTAGTCTAAAAAAATTGAAGCTTAAAACTTCATTAGTCTTTTAATTCTCATTAAATATTGAATATTAGTAACTATATCATGGTAATTTGACATTAAAATATTTACTCTCTATAAAATGTTCCAACTGTATAATCTACAGCGACCATTCTATCAGCTCTTATAAAACTACCGTGACCCCCAAAGTCATCTTCCTCTCTTTGCAGTTTACCAATCATTCCACTGAAGGTACCATTTCCATAGTCCCAACCAAAATCATTTGTAATCGATAGCTCCATTCTATAACCATAAAATATACATTTATTATATTACTTTGTGAATACGATATTTTTGAACGAGTATTTAATGAACACCAACTTAAAATTTAATTGATCTTGCAGAACTAAGTTTAATTCATTATGCATGTGAGAAAAAACGTCTAAATTTGTGTACACAAACGGATAGAAACCGATAAATTTGTCGGGTTCTGAAATCTATTCATAGAAAATTAATGTGTTGTCTCAAAATAATTATTATCATACTTACTACAGTAGTTGCTTTCAAAATAATTCCTTTAAGATTTCTTCTTTCCGTGTTAATATTATTTAATATTACATAGTCAGCAGTTGCTTTACCACATTTGAAAACTTTAAATGGTTGTTCTTTGCCCGTTCGAAAACCCTCCCAAATTTCCCACCCATCATTAACAACGTTAATAAACATGTACACATTAGAATCAGGCAAAATGTATGCATTGCTTAAATGCGTCTCAAATGTATCAAGAACAATACTTGAAATATCAGAAGTATTATAAATTCGTCTACTATTGTATAGCACCCAATCATTTTGCATATCAAATAATCGATTTTTTATACCCAGTTTTAACATTGTGTTCGAGAATTCGTAGCAAGATAAATCAACAAGTATACCGTATCTATACCAAGGATTATGTGAAGGTAATGGTGATTGATTATAAGATACAGATATGTCAACATCTGACAGTCTAGTCAGTAGTTTACTGCTTGTATCTGTAATTTAATAGTATTATTTTATAGTATTATAATTTCATAGTATTTATTTTTTTATACTATAACTAAAATAAATTGATAATTTTCAACAATTACCAGGTAACCAACAAGATGATGATGTAGTAACTGTTTGAATATTTTTATAAGTAAAAAAATTAATTATAATTCGTAAAAAACTATCTTCATGACTATTTTCGAGTGTTAAATAAAACAGAGACAAATAAACTAATGAAAAATAATATTTACTATACATTTTTCCGTGAATATCAATGCCATATAATACTTCACTCGACGTTACAAAAATCAAGTTTAATATGACAAATATCAAACAAAATGTAATCAGTAATACTGGACGACTTTTATCTACTAAATATACCAAAACAAATAGCGTGCATTTTTATTTGCTTAAAATAGAGTAGAGGTTTGGGAGTTAAATTATTTTTTTATGCGAAGTTTCTAGGGGAAAAAAATCAAAGAGAACTATTAAAAATTTGAATGGAGTTATAATAATTACGTAATCCTTTTTTTGTCCAAAAGAATTTAAAATGATTGAACCTAGTTACCACTTATTAACACTTTAAATAAATCTTGGGGGTGTTTAATGCGCGTCATGATTCTTTTTATCATTAGACATTTTATTATACATTTTCTTGGTTGAAACTAATATTTATAGTAAAAACAAAACAAAGTAAAAATTGATTTTTTTTGTTATTATGTCACGGCTTACTAAGTTGTTGTCACTTTAATGTTTCTTAGGATAGTTTAAGTTCAAAAAATTCTCAATCAAAATTTAAACTTCATGTTTACTTGTTTAATTTATTGTATTGTGTCATATTTGTATAATAAATAATTGCTATTAATATGTATTTATATAGTTAAGTAATAATAGTATAGCAACGTGAATTAGATTACTAAATTTAATTTATCATAATATTCAGTGTAACTAGCTATTATATTTTTTTTATAATTTAAATTTTTGATAGAATTATATAATGATTTGTTGATCAAATTATATATTTAATTCAAACANGACTAGGTAGATAGAATTATATAATGATTTGTTGATCAAATTATATATTTAATTCAAACATTTTTCTTAAAAATTTTGAATTATAAAAAACATAAATTATCTATGAATATACCAATATAGATTTTTAAATATATGATAAATGATTAAATGATATTTAATCAATAGTATAGATTTGTTTTTTAAATAATATGAAACATCAAAGATGTATACGTGAGAATAAGTGTTTTTAAAAGTTTATATAAATTATTTTAATCAATATTAATATTAAACGCTTTATAGTTTTGATATAGTAAATTATAAATTTTACTTTAAATTGTATCCAATTGAAATTATATTAATAACAGTAAATAACTTTAAAATGTGCTAACTTCCACAAACTCATAAATCGATAAAAATAATTTCAAATACAAATAAACCAATAGGCAACAACAAAAAAAAAAGGTACGAAAAAAAAAAATTTATCCGTTGATACGTCTTGTTCAGGGCCTTTTATGCCGCAAATAATAATTATTGTCATAAANTTGTTCAGGGCCTTTTATGCCGCAAATAATAATTATTGTCATAAATAATAAAGTAATGAACATGGACCGGTTTTTCATTTCACCGGTTAAAAAGAAATATGAGCGATGAAAAAACAAGATCAAACAGACACACATGGACAATAATTATTAATGCTTGTCGCATAGTTACCACCACTAAATACTAGATCGTTTATAGATACAGTTAAACACCAATGGCGACTTGGGGTTAGTGAGTTATTTATGAATTATTAGAGTAAGAATACTTCAGTTTTTTTTTTTTTTTTGAGAAACTATAAAAAATATTTATCAACGGTAATGATTAAACTGGTATTTGACTAAGAAAAAAACGGCCATGCTCGAGAATAGAAATATTTTCCTTCATACTTCATATAATATTATTTATGATTATCTTTTCATTTTTGAATAATAGAAGCCTTCTATTTATTTCTTTAAAAGTCATGTACGTCATGAACTAGTAGTGCGAAGGATGTTTAATGTTTGAAAAATTAATTATCGAACAAGGATTGGTACAAAAGATTTTCCTACAATTCAATTACAAAGTGATGTCTGGTTTAATTGTTCTCTTTCAATTTAGGTCTCTTTATGAATCACAGTAAAAAGAGTATTATTTTGTATTATATCCTTTTAATGTTACTTTAATACACTAGTTGAATTTTTTTTTTATGTACCATTACTATAAGAATACTAAATCTTATAAATTAATAATCAAACGCAATTTTGAAAGAAAACGCTTTTGTATGTAATTATAATATGTTTTTTTCATTCAACATTATAATAGTTACTGCTCGAATCCTTTAGAATAAGTAAATAGTTAAACGCTAATAGTTTATTTAAAAGCAACTATGAACATTAAAACATTTTATATACATAAGCAACTTACAAAAGATCTACGAACATTATTTCAAACATGTAGGAACATTTTATATTCCTAAAAATATTAATTAATATTGTAATATTATTTTATAAAATGTATTTCAGATGTTTTAATTTATGAGAAAAATTTTAAATGAAATAAATTTTATTATATAATGAAACATTGGAATATTTACATAACGATGTATTAAAATTTAAAATTATTTTTTTTAAATAATAAAGCTCGGCAACATTATTTTGAGAAAATTATTCGCGTAGATGAGAAAAGTTTTTTTTAGAAACTCTAAGCGCTTAAAATTTTTGGCAAAATCATTCAGTGTCGCCAGCGATTTTTTATTAAAAATCTTAAATGTTTACCAAGCTTACCTAAATACATTCCAAAGGTACTATGAAATTTTCATTGTAATCCCTTGGTTTTTGATTGAGTTATGACCATTTATTTTACACCCATAGATTTTAATAGGATATGATTTTCATTTGCACATTTTAATTTTATTTAAATTTTATGTAGTTACCACTACATGGTAATTAAAGATTACTTTTAATGATTATTAAGTTTTCATATTTTGCTGAATAATAATTAGTAGGTTGTTATGAACTATGATTGTGAGTACACCTAAGTATTTTGTAGTTATATTATTATTTTTTCCTTCAAAACATGTATCATATCGGCAACCCCCCCTACCGGAATCAGTGGCCTACCCCTAAAGACAGCACCAAATTTTGGGGCGAAGCTCCAGCTAGTCTATACATAATGTTCATAAAGATTTCAAAATGAAATTCCAAATCTAGACATTTGAATAAAAAAATCTTGTTTTTAATCAAACGTAATAGATATTTAAGTAAATTTTTTTAGTGTGCTGGATAAAAATAGAGAGATATTTTTTAATATCGAAGTAAAATGGTTAATATCAAATTATAGGATAAAGTTCAAAATCAAACCGATTACTGAATAATGCTATGGTATTTTTTAATAAAACGTAAATTTTGTTGTTTTTTATACTACATTTTATTTAAAAAGTATAAAACGATGTCCGATGGATAATTGCCACTAAGCACACAACGACTTAATTACTCAGACAACACGAGTGTCATACACTACCATAAATAAATGCTTCTATCTGGTTTTTTATTTCTTTCATTGATTTTGCACATCACTGCTTCCATTCATTATTATTATCCTCTAGTGGTATAATTTACAATGAACATTTTTATATCCATAACAACTGCTCATCTTTATTGGTCTTTAAACGTCTTCATTACTTGAATTCCTTTAACTTTTAAAAATTAAATGAACTCCTATGTATTTGCTTAAACATAAGGATGGTATTACAATTAGAATATAAATACTAAATATAGTGTTTAAAATTGTATATAAAATTTGAATTTACAAGATAATAACATTTTTTTTCTAGAAACCGTATTATTTACTAAACAATCCTCTTTATTTTTAGTCGATAGATTTTCAAGAGTGTTTTACTGAAACTAGTAAAATACAATATAGACTTGTTTATACTGTTTACTTAAAGTTTAAAAACGCCATTGAATAATCATCAGATTTCATCATTATTTATTATATATTTAACTGAAAGTTATTCCAAAAATAACAACGGACAAGGTCTGTTTTCAAATACATGTATTATTATTAATGGTATTTTCAATTATTTTTCAACTAGATTTTCAAATTTCTTAGAATAGTTTATAATGAACCTCTTACTATTCGAATCACGTTCAGATAACTGTTAAATTGTAGAATTAATTAACAATAGTTCTTTACTCAACTATCTGGTTGTGATTTAAAATAAAGGGTTTTATTCTATAAAGGAGTAACATAAACACTAATAAATAGTGTTAACACAAAAAATATAATCTACCTTAAACTTAAAATAGTGTTAAAAAGAATTCTCCAATCCTCTCTAAATTACGATTCTGTTATTTTTTATATTTATATATTTTCACTATTGTTAGAAATAAGTTTTATTTTAGTAACTATTTTTAATTAATATTAGAGATAAGTATAATAATCATTTAGTTTTTTTAAATGATAATTCTTAAATGTGCCTTAATTTTTTTAATTCCACAGTAGTTATTGTTTAAGATGTTTTTAAAATAAATATTTTTTTTCTATACGCACAATACAACATCATAAATATATTTATAAAATGTGTAACTTATTAAATTTCTAAATCAATTTTTGATATAAAAATAATGATATGATACATTACGTTATATTTTTTTGAAGTGTCTGTTATATTAGAAGCTCAAAAAAGAATTTTTCATTAGAGTTTTCTTGTAATAATGATTACCGTCGATGGTTCAAGCGTTTAACAAGTTGTCTACCACAAACAATTCCGGCGTAAACAATTGAACCAACGAAATAAAATACTTGTTTAAAATGAATATTTGAAAATTAAAATTCATTGTCTTTGTATAGAAACAAATTTACGTTTTGTTTTCAAAATACCACATGAAACCATTTCATGAACAATTCTATGATAAAGTGAATTAATTTTCCTTTATATTTTTTCAAATCATCATATAATACATTGTTGTTTATTTGGAATAGAACAGAATTGAATCGGGTAGGGTAACAAAAGAAAACTTTTCTAGTGTGTATAACAATGTTTGCGAAATATGAATTACTAATCTCAAGTATGCGCTAGACTGTGACTTTTGAACTCGAGCAAATATTTAGTTTTTCATTTGAAAAAATGATACACATCAGCTTTTTTATTTTTCACTTCATCGCTTTTTGAACAATTTTTCATACTGAATCCAAATAATAGTTTATAGAAAACTTAAAGTTACCGTAGACGTTTCTTTTAGTTTGCAGCACATTTAGACGCCAAGCAAATTATTCGAGCATAGTATCACGTTGTTCACGATAGGCGAAAAATGCAGGTAGATATCAAGGTTCGATTCCGTTGGGCTGAGCTCTGTAGGTTTTCCCATTTTTTCTAGCGCAAACAATAGTTTTTAGAGAAGACGATTTTCTTCGCCTTTATCCCAACTACTTGGGGTCGGCTGCCCTTATCCTAAGCTTCCACTGGACACGATCTTCCACATTATCTACGCACACATCAGCCGTCCTCATATCGCATTCAATAACATCCCTCCGTTTCTTTTTCGGTCATCCCCTACCTCTTTTTCCTTCCACGTTAAATTCCATAACTGTTCGCATAGCTTCCGGTTCCTCTCGGCTAAGCCATCTAAGCTTATTTTCTCTCATCTCGCGGAATAGATTTTAGAGGGGACGTTAAAAACCGATTAAATCACTGACAAATGTTTCGTTTCTATTTCAAAGTAAACCGATTTCCTACGATCTATTGTGTTGGGATCGACGGAGGTGCCGTTGAACCTTTGGGGCCTATTTTCTCAGAGTGCTCGGAAAAGCGTAAGGTCATCCGACGAACACAATCGGAGCTTACCGACAAGACGTGTTCGAAATGATTAGCGATGGTATACATTAACGCAGCGAATGACCCTCGTCCGTTACAACCGCATAATAAGTGTTTAATATAGCCGGTGTGTAATGACATTACATACCGGCGCTCCTGTATAATTAAATCCATTCAATTGTCACTGCGTTTCGTATTCCAACCTTTTTTCAAACGCTCATTTATTTTTTCGCATACTCGTCTTGAGTTTAAGAATGTTTTTGCATTATGAACACGAAACAATGAAGTCTTAAGAAAAAAACTTACTGCGTGTATTAAAAAAATGTGATAAAAAAAAAAAAACCAATGGTATCGTCTCGGATGAGACGCGGCAAAAGTTTCTCGTTTGTCATTAATGCTCGTTACGCTCATATAATTGTTGTTTTTTTCCTTTCTATCTATCATATATAATAATCTTTTTTTAATCCGACTCGCACGTGTCTTTCGATTCATGTATACAAAATAAATAAAATTTTCACTGGTAATCATAAAAACTAGATTCATTCATGAACCAACTCGTGATCTCGATTATGGACTCTAATCGCGTACAAGCCTAATTCAACTTGTCTTTCGTTCGGCGAATCAATTATCATATTGTGGCTGTTTTATTGTGTTTATGGCCTTGACGAGGGATGATGTGAAACTATTTTGTTTCAGTGAATCGGACAAATCGTCATATTGTTTTTCGCAATACGTACGATTTCAATCAACGTATTTTATGATTCCACAAAAAACAAAATGCAAAATACATTTCGTCTCGGTGTCTAAATCCGAAAAACCGATCACAAATACACTTGTTTACTTTATTATGTATTTTTTTACTAAATTAGGTTGAATTGTTGTACAATTTTACATGTCAAATGAACGCAGTGAGTATTTAAACATTTTAGAAGTACGTGTATACCAAATGTTGAAATAGGTTTAATAAAACTACTGGAGAATTAATTGAAATTTAGGGTACAAATTATGTTATTATTGTGAATAATTTTAACGTTCATTGTCAAAACACATAAAATTTCTCAATTATTGGCCAATAAACCAGAACTATGCAAAGTTAAAACGAATAATAATCATAAAAAGGATAATAAAAATTCGTTTCGCAGTTATTGACGAACCTTTCGTTTTACCAGAAACATACCAATAAATAATAATTGTTGAATAATAATATTACAAGATTTTTTTTTTCAAATTCAAGCAAAACTTAAATTTTTATATCATTACAAATAAACATTACTTACAGCCTTCAGGTAAATAGCAAGGTTCTTTGGTCAATATTTCAATGGGCACAATAATGACATAATCAATCATATTTACTCCTTAGATAATTGAAGAAAGAAACCTTGCATCTCTATTAACTCTCAACTAATTGGATTTTACAATTAAATATTCTTGCCCCATATCGATAATACATAAATCAATCAACGATGTCTCAGTCAACTTATTTGTTTATTGGGTTTAAAGATGCATAATAACAACTTTTGTTCATACCTGATCTGATATTGAATGCGGATTATAGAGTGAACTTCTAATATAAAATAATTATAAAGTAATATCACTGTTATAATGAGAAGTATCAAATATATATTGTGTTATTTTTAAACAATTTTGAATGGTAAGTAATAGAATATTATTTAAAATAAAAATTTTAATTGGATTCGTGCATACGATATTTTCTTTTTTGTTCAAACAAACCGTATAATTACATTAGCAGTCACACCTAAACAAATGATTTTAATAAATAATAATATTTATTAAAATTTACATTTTTTGTTCCTTAATAATTTTTTGTATGAAGCTCAACACACTTTTACCGGGCTCCATCGAATCAGTAATTGCGTAACAGCTGTTTAATAAATTGAGAATAAATTTCAAAATTTTTTAATTGTATCAAGGTACAACATTTCAAATTAACGTTGATTATGACATGTAATCTAGCATTGCGTTAAAATTATATTCTTTAAAAATTTACAATTTAAATTTTATCACAATACGGTCTATTCAGTAATTTATTCATTAGTCATGCAATACAAATCTAATAGATAGTTAAAAATGAACTTTAAATGTCACTTACCAACTTAATATTTAAGTAAAACAGCTATAATACATCACAATTCTTTATGATATTATTATATAAAAGAAAATATTAATAGAATAATATTTTTTGCGGCTATAATAAATTATACATAAACTATTAAGTTTTGATTAATAAATTCGTACAGAAAACCTCATGTCTCTAATTAAAGACGAAATTGAATTAATATTAACTTCAATGATGTAAACTATCACAACCAAGTCTATTTTTTATACATGTATATTGCATTCGATTTGTTTAATGGAGCTTACATTATACTTATATAAAAAATTAATACAATTATGTAACGGCATTGATTTCTTAAATTAAAGCGGCACCTATTACTTTATAAACAATCGAACGAATGCAGTAATTTAAACAGCATTTGACTATTATACATATAAATTACGTATGCAATCGAACAAGTGATGGAATCGTTTTAATTACCGTTCGATGTGCATATACAGCATTATTAGTAATTATAAATTTACGCTCACTGACTTCTAACACGTACATATATTTATGCGTTAGAACCTATAGGTCGTCGTGAATAAAACGGGATAATAAATAATAATAAAAAATAAAAAAAATTCTTATTGCATTAATTCTGGTATTCATTGAACCATAGTATTTTAATTGTTCCATAATTCAAATTAAGAAACAATTTTTTGCTATTCTACTCGCAATCGCTATACATATTTTATGTACAAGTACATTGAATCTATTGTAGGAAAATAATTTTTTTATTATTTTAAACTTAAACTCATCGCTGTCTTCTACGGTGAGGAAGTTTATGAAACATTTTCGGACCAATGGTCTGAGCACTAAAGTACTTTATTCATAATTTTAACTTATCGCTTTGATTGAACTGAAATAAATTTAGTCAATCGAGTATTTTTATTGATTGATTTAACTGAACTGTGTGAATCGTTATGGGCAAATTAGGATATTACTCACTCGTATCTACTTTAGCTTTTTTAGACTCAAGCTGCTATCTAACAAAAAAAAAAATCCGTTATGAGAACTGACTAATAAAAAATTAACGAACATGGTCAATTGTGCGTCATAGAGTATTTGCTACGATGATAATAACGCAGCTGTGTTCAAACACTGAGTTTTGTACCGAGTTGTTAAAAGAGAAAAAAAATCAGCACGTGACTTGTGGGTGATAAGTATTTTCAATCCAATGAAATAAAACTAATAATAACTGAACGAGTAAAATAAAGAAAAAAAACTACACGGGCATTTTTTTTTTTTTCCAATAACAGTCTAGTAACATAGAGACAGTACACAGAACAACAGTAATTAAATGACACAGAAACACTAAAAGGACAGTGATGAGGTGGCTCTTTTGCGCGGTGCCATCAGTCTGTTTGCGTCTCAATGCATACAAAGTGTACGGGCCATTGTGCCAAACGTTTTCACGCAATTTGACTGTTGTTTTGCATACTACCGCGCGCGTTACACACGTCACACGGTTGTCAACACGGCGATTGCCGCCGCCGCCGTCGTCCAGATGAATGAAATCCGTTTTTCTGGAACAGCCGAGTGCGGGCCGATACCGCGACGAGCATTCGTACGTGTGCGTACGACCAATTGTAAATGTGTGTGTGTGTGTGTGCGTTGGCGCCACGAGACGCGCGCCGGCCACCGTCCCTTTTTTTTTGTCCACACACACACACACGGCCGCCACTGTCACGGTCGCCACCATTACCAATAGGATAATAACCGTCTGCGTTGGAGGACGGAAAAAGAGACGGGAAAAAAAAGGAAAAGACAAAAAAAGGTCGCGGTATTTACCACCGTTCAGCAAAACCCCAGATTGATTTTTATGAATCGCGCCAACCAACACTCGATTTTGTCATGTCGACGTGGAATAACGACGAACAATAATAACGCATCCCGGATCCGATGACCTGTAACTAATTTCCGGGCAACATTGACTCGGCCGATTATGATAATACACCGCGCAGCCGTTTGCCGATTGAGTAACGGGGCGAGCCACTCTGTTAATGCATTGGCCGGCCGCAGGCGATTTCGCCGGTACTCGAGTAACGGCTGTACGTTGCCGCCAACAGTCGAGCTTTTTTTTGTGTTTCTTGTACGAGTCGATTTCTCGAGAACTAAGACCAGTCGGCTCGTGTCGGAAAACCGGCGGCCACATGTCGTACAACACGTGTACCCACTCAAATACGGCGAAAAAAAATCATGATAAATTGCGCGTTCGCAATCGAATAAATATTACACAACCGCTTTAGTTTCAAACTTGACAGTGTACAGCAGAGAGGAAAAATTGCATTGCACGCGGACAGTAAATACAACAGTTTGTCAGAATAACCAGCGCCGGACAGAACGGGAAGCTCGACAAACACCACGTTAAAAAACTTGCTCGACCTTTTGCTAGTTAAATAAACGAATCGACGTCGAATAAGCTTTTCAAGCAAACGCTATTTGCATTCCGAAACTACAACTTTGAATCGGTGTTTTTTTTCTATTTTTATTCATCAAAATCTTTCCGCGTTTTATTATTCCCTTCGTCTCGTATCGACAGTAATTGTAATATATTTGAATTTAACAAAAAGTTATTTAAGGGCACAAGATTTTTAATTAATTCGTTTGCGCGCACCTCTCCAGAAAATATTTACGCAGCAAATCCTATTTTGCTTAAAAGCGGTTAACAACGTCTTCAAATATCTCAATCTCACTAAGATAGTCTCGTTTGATATTACTTAGGTAATTGAATTTGATCGATTGGACTCATTGGAAAAATAGTTTAAAAGAGAGGGGAGCCAAGAAAAAATATAATCTTTGCAAATAATTACCATTTGAATTAAATTTTATGAACAAATAATAACTATTTAACCTATTCCGTTTACGAATCATCACAGTTATTTTAATGATTTAAAATATTGTTTTTTTTTTTCCAAAAAAAACATTATTCTACTTTATAGTCACTTTGAAGGGTCCCGAGTTTTTGCAACTGAATATTATACAGCATCCTAGAAATATTTTTTATTTTAAGGGGGATAAGTCCCCCTAATTCTCCAAAAACTATAACAAAACATTACTATATTGTGAATTCGATTAATAAAAATGTGTACTAGCTGATGATGTGTTTAGACTAACTTGACAAAATTTACAAGTGCATATAATCCCGAGCCCTACCGCATTATCAAGAAAAAAAAATGATTAAGAAAATAGAACACCTTGTTATAAATAGAATTACATCTTAATTAAAACGATAGTGCACATTAAAAAGATTAAATTATAACAATTGCTGCGCGGAGATCCCTTTTGTTCAGCGTATAAAATAATGAACAGATGATGTAAATAGGATTATAATCTTAAAACTCGAACGGTTTACTGAACACTTACAAATGGTATTATGTTTGTCCTTTAAAATTAATATTTGAACATAAACATGTCTCGGACATGTTACCATTTGTCACAACCTATTGGTTACACAAAAAGTCTTAGCATTTTGACAGATGGTCTCGGCCCTCAATGAACTAGATGCGACCGGTCATCAATATGTAAATTCCAAATTCTTATTCGGAGTCATGCACGACGAGAGTCAACGTCTAATAAAACAAATAGTAATCAAATGGTAGCAATTGCCCTAACTTGATGTCATGTGCAGTACATTGTTTTGTCACGGTGATTATAAAGTACTTCCATTATTCAAATCCAAAATGTCATTACTTTTCAGTTTCTAATAAGTTTTTCTGGTGCACAGAACACGCAAAGTTCATTTCTTCTCCGAGTGTCATAGTTTTATACTTGCCAATGTCGTTTGGACTTAAATAAATCGAATCACTTCTATTCTAGTTTCATAAAAATATTTGTGCTTGAAAATAACTCCGACTGCCATAACGTCATATTCGTATAATACAAATTGCTACATCGTAATAGTTATTCCTTTTTTTTTATGTCTTGTGTATTTCTCTCGTTTCGTAGAATAATTGGATTGCCCGGTAAATTCGTATACATTTTTAAATCGGTCTTTTAAATAAAATTATTGATTAATAAAAAAAACAAACATTTGTGATCAAAAGAGTAGACGTTGTTCTCGGACAACTAGTTGGAACAACTATTTGACAAGTAAAGTATTAGAACGGCATTGTTGTAGACATTTGTCATTGAACGACCAGTGAAATACTTTTCACGATTTTGTAAATAAGTTATTGTATGAACATAATATTAATATATGTTAAGTACTTATCCGACTACATAAAAACGATAAACCTCCAAAGTGTTCACGTAATGCGTTTAAATGATACTTCATCATATATTCGCCATATAATTCACTATAATCCATTAAAATATACATTAACTGCGAAGCCCTACACACCGGATACTGTTTAATAACAATTTTTATTTCAACATATTCCAGTCCAAATGCTTTTTCTAATAGACAATAACCATATATGTAGCAATAAACACTAAAATATCTACATTAAACACATTTATAATTGAAAATTATTGAATAATTAAAATTATCTTAGTGAAATGAGAAATGGAAATGAATAGGTACTCAAAGCATATTGGTATAATTAAAATTCATTACACGATAATTCAAATATTTATTACAAATAAAGCTGTTATTTTTAAGTTATTCACTCGGAAAAGTAATAACTGGTATGAGTGTTGGTTACATTATTAATTTTTTACTGTCTCGAATGTGATTATTTTTAGTTTCGATATGAAAAGTCTAGTTACATCTCTACAAAAACGTTACTTAATTTAGCGCCTCGACTTTTTTTAAACCGGTAAAATTCATATTTTTCCTATAAAATTTAGTCTCAGTCCAGGACAGTGTATTGGTGTTTAACTGTGCATAATGATTTGTATTTGGCGAAACTCGAATGCAAACGGAAAGTAATAAAATGTATAATAAAAATTGATCACTTGTGGCTAATTAATTAAGTAAAATGTGTTTATCATTCGGAATCTGTTGAATCCATTACACCATTTTGACCAGGTTCGGGCAGTTTATTTCGAACTGCACTGCCGCCGCCGCCATAAGGTGTTCTTGTATAGTCGATTAGAACTCGTCAACAGGTCGGTCTAATCATTTAAATATATTGTATTGTCGTCGAAATCAAAACAATACTAAAACGGGCGTGCGACCAAGCGTCCGTTTTCGAAAACGGTTTTTATGACAACGCTATTACATTTTCTATTCGGTGTAGCTGTTTTTTTTTTTCCACCGTGTTATTATTATATGAACGTTTCCGAAAAAATGTCAACCAGAGCGGTTGCGGCCGGCGATGATGTGGCGCCAACAAGATTCGTCTTCGAGGCCCCCGCGCGCTCGCCTGTGATTTACAACAAACTGCATTCTTTACGTGCTCGTCGCCGTTCAAGGATCGCACACAGGTAGCCGGTGGTGAACCTTCACGCCGGACATTTTACCGCGGCAATTTTCTTCTCTCTCACTCCGCACGCTCACGTCCTTTTCCGTTTCCGAAAACAAAAAAAAATGACAAATCCACAATGTCACCGGCTTTTTACCACCGCAGTCATTACAATAATGCTGTTACCGCGTCTTCCCACACAGTCGCAACGCCGTCACTGTCGGTTGTCGTACAGAATCGACGGTACGGCTGACCCTGTCCGGCCTAAAACGTTGTCTGACAATGTGGCCGCATTCCCCAGAAGTGTGTGTATGTATTTAATTCAAACGCCGCGCCGTTTAAATATGTCTGTAATCAATTTACAATAGCTAATTAATTGACAAAGTGTGAATTTATCAGAATGTCTGGTCTGGTCGTTTTTTAAACGGTGTGCCTCTTCTGCAAATTTGAAACACACGCCGTTGTATGATTATACAATGCTGACTGTGCTACGACCACAAGGGCTACAGTTTGTTCAACAGCAGATGATTGACTATGTGCGTGCACACGTTTGACGACGAATGAGCACAATACCGTTTTTCTTACACGTGGATCCCAAAAAGTGTGACTAATGTTTTTTTTTTACACTCCTATCGAATCTGTTTGGAGATCACTCTAAAAACAGACGTGCGTGCTGTAAAAATTCGCACGCGTTATACGGCAGTGCTATCCGAGTCACGAGCAATTTTTAAACAATTACTCTTCGATTTTTCTTAACGCAATGATCTTATTTCACCTTATTTTGTTAACTGTTGTTATTTTATTGAAACAATCTATGTGTTTATTTTTGAAAGCCAGTGGCAAAAAATAATAATAAAGAGTTACGATTGTGCCTTACCACCCTAGTTGAGTCTACGGTACATTTTTATACATATTTTAATTACACGTGTACTTGTGAAATTCCAGTCGATTAATCGTCGCCGTGTAACAGCCACAGTAATATTTTGGTGTCGTAATCGTTCTGAGTAGCATGCAAAAAGAGAATTAAGCCTCTTAGATTGTTACCCGATCAAAAAGTAACTAATCATTAGTTTGGGTGGTTTGACATGCTTTAACGTTAAATATTTTGCCATTAATTGAATTTCGTGTAACGGTTATAAAAAAAAAAATAAACAACTTTCACCAAACAAAGATAGATTAGATGTAAGAATATGATGTCCATTCGGTCAGATGACATACTCGGTATAAATTAAAACGTACTGATTATGTAGTCAACACATAATATGTAATTATTTAGCACCACGTTAAGTAACTACACAATCGCAATACACTGAGCGATATCAGACGACTCTAGTCAGCGTTTGCCGCACACAATAATTACATTAAAGCTTAATTGTTGTACTTCATGCCGGCTTTAAGTGTAGTAGAGTTGTGTACTCTTAACAAATATACAACAAAATATCACGCCCGTTAACTGGGTCAGTCGAGTAATTTTTAAGATATCGCATTTGTGATAAAAAAACAAAAAATAATGGAAAAAACTTGCACGATAATCGCTATACCGGATCGACATTGCGACTTGCACAAAATTTATGGCGCATGCCACCGAAATGATCGAATTTCGAGCCTTCTATTACTACGGACAATATATTGTACGACACATTTTCGTTGGCCAAAATACTGGACGCCGACTTGTCACAACGCAATCGTTTTGGGATTAAAAGAAGGGTAGTTGTGATCGCCCAACAATGTCCGTACAAACGCAGTGCGTTTGCACTGGCCGGAGGCACACGGGCTGATTTTCAACAGCAACTGATGATTAATTTTTTTTACCGTTATCTGTGAAAAGTGGCCGGGGAAATTGGCGGCGTGTACGAGAAAAGCGCGCGGCCACAGCTGATAAAACCGCACCGGTCTCTACAGCGGTGACCGGCAGCCGGCGTGGAAACGGCGCACGCGCGCGCCCGGTGCCCGCTGCACGTGCGATCGGCCGACCCACTGGCGACCGCAATCGGAGTCTTGTAGTAGTACAACTCCACCGGATACGCCAGTCCGAATCCGCGCACCGGGCGACACGTGGTTCCGCACACGACACTATATTACAGGGGGCGCCCGCAATTTATTTACACGAATATTTTTTACCGAGGAATATTATTTTTACCGAACTGGTGTTTTTACCATTAGCCAACCCCCCCGGACAAGTACACTGTTGTTTGAGACCGCGTGAAAAAAAAAAGAAATTCGTCGATTGTATTTTTTTTTTTTTTTTTTATATATAAATAAGTTTTCGTGTACATTTTTTTTTATCGTGCGTACGTGACAATTTCTTTTTTTTTTTTGAAAATTTTATTGTTTTTTTTCAATTGTTAGTTTTAATCATCGATAATCAATATTATATATTACAATTGTTTTTTTTTTTTCGCCATAATTTTTGTAAAACGAACGATTTAAATAAAACATAATTATAATCGTCCCCAGTGGAGTTATTTATTATTATATTTTTCGATTTTTATTTGTGTGTGTGAGTGATTGTGTTTTTCTTAAATGTATAATAAATGGTATTTGAATTTTTAAAACAAAAATTATTTATTTGAACACCGTTGTTAATTTGTTATTTATTATTACTCTGTCGTTATTCTCTGGAAACGGTTTCGCAATAATCCGTACAAGGTAAGTGTTTGAAAATAACAATAATTACATAATAATGCGCTTTTACTTAATCGTAATTTCAACGTCGAAACCGGCAGCGTGGAGCTTTTGTTTAAAACAACGTCTTTCGCGCCGTTAAAAAATAATAAATAAACGCCTAAATCATTGCTACGTTAATCTGACTGCACACTGCTGGGCAGCCGCCGTCCAAGGCCGTCACAATGTTAAACATAGACGCTTTGGGAAATTTTCACACATTTATCATATATTCGTGGGCTAGGCGATAGATAACGTGCTCGTCCTTAACGATTCGGATTCCCGTGTAAATATAAAGCATCAGGTCGAGTTATTTTAACACTGTTGACCGTACGTTTTTAATCTTGAAATAAAATTAATATTGTTTTTGTTTTCAACCCGACCGGCCGGGTCGCCCGTTTCTATAGCTTTTATGCTTCCACCGTCAAAAGCCGGCAAGTTCGTTGCACTCTCGGTGTATACTTAGTATCAAATGCACCTAATACTGGAAAAATATTGCGTTTAACACGTTGTACGTGTTTAAACATATTAAACGCACTTAACGTGACTATTACATGTCAGCTCCTCCGAAGTTTGTCTAGTCTCGCTCGCTGTAGAGGTAATTGGGCAGAAGAGAACGTTTCCAAATCTACACTTTGGTTTTAAATGAAATTGTATTTTCACGCAATAAAGTCGTTTGATTATTTTTCGGTCCTTGTTAACCAATTAATTAATCCTCAAAAGAACTCATTTTTTATACAAAACATGGTACCGAAAGAAAATAAGTGGGAAATCGTTATAAAGAAATTTCAAATTTTTGACGTACCATTTATTTAATCATTGTAGTCGTCCACTTTATTTTTTCTAATCGAGTTTTACGATTTGTCTATATCTAGTGGAAGTGCGAAATTCACGTTGTATCAGACCGTATTTAAAACGTGTAGCTTATCGACACATTTTTTTTCTTCAAATAATTAGATAAAAATATTGTAGTTATCAATAATTTTCTAATCAGTGTCGCGAAAACTGGATGTACAGTGTGTGTGCGGCAACATCGAGTGGGGGTCTACCATTTCTAAAACTATAGGGAGGAGGGGGAGGTACTACTCGCGCGCAGACCTCGAATTTAGTAGTTGCGACACTGGTTCTAATGAATAGCACAAGGAAATCGGCTTGATTGTAGAGTGTTGACGTTAAAGTTCTACGATTGCAAAAGTAGATTTGAATGTACGTGTTAAGAGCAATTGAATTATGTTGGTAATGGCCGAAAAATGTTGAGCGAATAAAAAATGAAAAAACCCGTTAAACGGGAAAGGATTAGCGCGTTTGTTTTTTTGTGTGTTTATCGTTTCAATAAACTCGTGTTTGTTCGCCGTAGAATCGTTTGTATGTTTTTGGCACATTATAAATTCATCGTCAAAAGGGTGACGAGATTACCCACTGTGTATGCGGACCGTGTTTTTAAACGTGTCCACAATAATTTGCAACAAAAGAGCTACCGCGTACACAGACACGGCTAATGTGCTCGGACGAGGATTAGTAAGGCCCGGCGGTTTTTTTTTTCCTTTTCAAATGGCCACACTCGGTGCGAACGTAAATACGTTCTCGCACGTTCCACTCGATCATTGTTTGTTCGGTCGCCAACTTTGAATACTTTACTTTATTGTGTCTGGAAATAGTAAAAATATAATATAAACGGGGAAAATATCGACTGTCCGAAATAGAAAAGTTGTCCGATATGTTTTTCGATTGCTGAGAGTTATCGTTATTTTTTCTCCGTTCAAGAGGTAAAACTTTAGTTATAAACTATGACGATTGCACAACGACCAGAGATAAAAAGTGTATTTTTCCGCAGACACCGTCGGATTGTATCCTCTGCAACACGCGCGTATGTATTTTACTAACGCGGTGTAATCTCCGGCCATCGAATGATTTAAGAAGTTTTTTCTTCGGTAAACTTTCCGTATCGGTGTACTGTGTGCCGCGACCGAATAATGATCGGTTTTGTACATATCCGTTGGAAATACAATCCAAAGTTTTCGCTTAAATATAATCGTTGAAAAAGTGGTACTTTATCGCAACACATCGTTCTCTCTAACAGTGGGCCACGCTAAACGTACAGACGGTAATGTTATTGCTGCGAATAACAAATTTATCCGCTACAAAAATACGTGCATTTCAAACGTTGCTACTTAAAAACCGATTTGGACTCTTCGGACGATTAACTAATCACATACACTCGCCGAATTGACACCGATTCCGAAAGCGTTGGACACTGTAAAACAAAAGTAATCGTTTGTTTGGGAAGCCAATGGGGTTCGGTGCCAAACGATTTTTACATTAGTTTCATAATCATTTTTGCCGCCGCCGAAACTCTCATGTCCTCCGCTCATTGCCGCGTTATTTCACATCGTTCAGCGATCATCATTATTGTTATTAATCGGCGTTGATGGTTTATCTTTTGTGAATAATCATTGAAATATACATTTTATGTGCGTCTTTCAACGGATGTAAAAGATGAGTCATAGTGACAATGAATAATTATTAATCGATGAAAGGAAAAATGACACTCGTCGAGGGTTTACACGTCCTCCGTCAATCCGCACCACGTTTATAAAAGGCCGGAGAGAGGCCATACACATTTCACAGAAACACTGTGGAGTCGAGAAAATTATTTTTGTAAGATTCTTGTCAACACATAACAACAAAGTGTCGCGTGATCTCGAATCTTCCATTATAAAACATCACATTCGAATTTTAAACAATTATAAAAGTACTACTTGATCGATGAACACCAGATTTTTTTTATTTCGTACAATCAGTCGTAATAATTTTAGGGTTAAAAAATTATAATAACAACACAGTTCATTCTCGGTTTTCGAGTTGTCTTTTTTATCCTATTCCGGTCGTTATACGTTGGCCTTATTGATGTTATAGCCAATAACAACGTGAGGCGTTTCTATTAAAATAGTCGTTATAGTTTAGAAATATTGTCATTTGATTTGAAATTAATGTTAAAGAGCTGTAATGCAATAAAGCAGTTGAATTCGTTTTCTATTGCACTCGTAGTGTTTTCCTGAAAGTTAATGTATTGAAAAAGATTCATGAACAAATGATGCGTTCACACTTTACACAGACAATATGATAATTACACATGTAATGTATGTGCTTGGAAAATATTTTGCCTACATAATAATGTGCTCGAGAACAACGTTAAGTTTATTTACGGCCTTAACAGTGCATACGTTTTGACACGGACAAAACATTTCCTGTGCCATCGATCGTTTTTTATGGCCCTATACAAAAACCCATTTCTACATTGTCAGTAGTGAATCTCTTCCGTCTGTTTGCCAAATATCATAATTTTCCGTCAAACTAGCGACACAGCCACATAATTTATCTTCCACTTGTCCAACGCTCTGCTGAAATCGTCAACTCAATGTCATCGAGCAATATCGTGTCCACTGTATATAATTTATAATATTTCTTGGCAGATTCGACGAATGAGCCGTTACGTAAAACAAATACTTACATTTGTTTTTTTTTTACTTAATTTCACAACGGTCATCGTGCGCTCTGGACGCGAAATTGTACAGCGAAAATCACACACAAGACATTCTTGTGCATCCTAATTGGATGCTCTGCATTTAGATAAACGGGGCCGATCGGAGTGTCATGATACTGTACACGCCGCGATGAACGAGAAAAAATTATCGTTTCGGTTACTTTCCTACGGACGTTTGAAATTGTCGATTCGTATTTTTTGTGCGCTCAGACCGATAACACATTTCGGCGAATATGTTATTACACTTTTGCCAGGTTTTCATTAGGAACGATAAGCGTTACGAAATTTGTGTTAAAGTGCAATCCGTTCAAGCTAATAGAGAGCTAATAGGGAACGCGATGGTTATGTAACGACGAGTATTTTTTCTCTTTGAGATTTTCATCGGTAATCCTTCAGTGGCGTTTTCTGCGTACTCCAAAAAATAACTTGACCACAACGAACGCACTCGCGTTATTTGATTACACGTCGTTTATAACCATACGACCTACAAGTCGTTGCATTCGTTTGATAACACCACCGCGGACTCCTTCGACATTTGAGGTCATCGAGAAGACCAACGCGATCGTCGTGTACACCTTTTTAGAAAACGGCGTGTGACAATGTGTGTGACTGTAATACTGCGAAACGCGTTTGTCTGCCGATTGTCGTACGACTTTTGTACCGACTGCGCGGTGATATTATGACGTACAGTGAAATCAGCTCGTCAACCTTACCGTATTGATAATTACACGCCATTGTTTTGTTGATGCTTTAATTTGCATGTGCGGGTTTCCATTGAACTCGCAGTCGGTTCAAATGTGATTTTGACGAAATCGCCGCCCGTACACGGTGTTTTAATTCGACTGGATTAATTTCAAACGATAAACGTACCCGAGCCCGCGGAAATAACGCCAGTGCAGTGCGTGTGTAGACATTGCAACGGTCGTTTCGAATGTAAAAAACATCTGATTGTGTGAAATCAAATTGCTTTCGAATTGCGGCGGGTATAAAGTGCAAACGCAACACCGGAAGTTGTCGGAAATTGTTGTGTGTAACAACACGTTGTACGCTGTTGTTTTAATTAATAAACTACAATATCACACGATAATGTTGAAAAGTTCTGATAGAGTTCACTAACATTGCCCCGTAGGCAGTGGTTTTTTGTATTTGAGAAATCGGTCGGTTTAACCGATTAATAATTGCGCGCGACTACGATTTCGATTTGATGTAATTAAAAACGCCGAAATCTAACGAAGTTTTCGGTTAAAAATAACTGTTTGAAAACAACACGTAAAAATTGTATTTAATTTTTTCAATTTTTAAGTTCTCCGTTAGTCCGTCGCGTTCCAGTGTACGGCTCCAAATCAGCATTAAAAAAAAAAAAAAAAAAAAAACCAATAATTAATTATTCTATTGAAACGTCCGTGCGGTTAAGTTATATTCTCGAGATAAATGCACGGCAAACGAGTTCGTGTATCGAAAAACAATTTCAAGTATTTAAATATTATGAAGCGAATTTAATTACATTGTACTTTTGCGCGTGGGAACGCCTATGCCAACGTATAATGTAATACGTGCAAGTAATTTTTTGTTTATTTAACTGAATAACAAGTCAGAAGAGTATTCCATTAGGTCTCGTCTAAACTGTTTTAAACGTTCGCTCAACGCAGTGGATTTTCCTGTACGGCGATCGGCATAGTCTTTCGCAACAGGGCGCTCGTAAAATTAACAATGGGGGGGCCTGTTTTATTAGCGCATTTCGCCGTTTTTGACTTGTACCGGTCTCTGAGAAAATGAATACTTGTAACTTTCCTTCCGTATTGTAACACGTATGCCCACGTATTGCCTTGTGTTTCTGTTGCGTGGCTTTTGTCCACCGCGTCCCGATGACAACTCCTTTGTACCGTGTAAAATATCGTCGGTGCCGTTCTCGATTGTCGTTTGGCTAACAAAACTTGCGTTTTCAACGTTATTGCCAACTGTGAAGTTGTCTTCGCGGAGCAGTGTCTCGGTCGGTATTTATTACTCAATTGAATTCGACGGGCACCACTTAGCAGGCGGCAAAAAACCTCAGTGTGATTTTCGTGTTTGTTGTCTACATAGGTAACTAAATATTACACACCGTCTGGACTGAAGAAACGATAGATAGCATTTTTAAAAACGCCTCCACTGGGTTTTAGCGCTTCATTTTCAGACCATCGGTCGCTCTTGTCGTTATTTTATGGTCGGCGGCGGCGGCGGAGGCAACGGCGATGGTTTTTGTTCCCTCTCCTATCGCACAGCAACGATTGCTTATGTGCAACGATCATTGGACGTCTTGTATGTTCAAGAAATGTTATTTTTTTCCCTCGATATTTTTTTATTCGTGTTCTTGTACGATACACTGCAGTTGTACCGAAGGAAAACTGTATACAAGACTCGGAACGGAAAGACAAACAAACGACAAGTGAGACGGAAAAATTAAAATAAAACCGAATAAATCATTAGACAAACGATTTGAGCAAGAGGTTTAAGTGTACGCATTTGTTTGTTTATTGTTTTGCATGCATTTATTGATATTTATTGCGGTCACGAATCAAAATGTAACATCTATGTGGACACATTTTTAGCATTGTGAAATTACTGACGAGACTTTTTAACGGTCTTTTGCTTTATTATAATCATTAATGTGCGCAGTTATTGTTTGTTACAAATGCAATGGGGCACTCCGATAATCGTTTTGCTCTTTGGATTGTTGAAAAAGATAATACCCAACATTGCTGTCGTATATTTTTTATCGAAATTATTTTAAGCTCCAATGCGGTCTATGCATGAAATGCACTTACTTAATTAACCCCGCGAAAACCCGGTACTTTTTCTACGAAACGTTCATTGTGTCTTAAATTTTTTACTTACGTTTCTGAAACAATGTTTTATGCCATTTTTATCAGTTATCAAGTAATGAAATTTTTTGATGAAATATATATATATATATATATATATATATATATATCAATTCACAAAACTAAACAGTTTTATTGTATTTTGGTAGAATTTCTTTCGAATTAAATAAATAACTAAACTCTCCCGCTTTTATAATATTATAAAAATTTTCCGCTTTCCATTTAAAAACGATTTCATAACATCTCAAATAACTTTTGTTCGTTTGACTTTAATCACTTGAACTTGAATCGATGTTCGGAGAAACAAAGTTTTAACACGATTGTGTTGCGTGGGTTTTATCTGTTCGTTGTTTTCACTATTGGTTTATGAACAGTAGCCATTAAGTGCTGAATTGTGAATTGTGAACGGTAAAATAAACTCCGGTCGCATTTTAAGGGTTAAGATATGTACAAAGACAATTTTATTGCACCTTTGATTCTGGTAATGAATGAAATTTTCTCAGAACTGTCGACGTTTTGCAATTGTTTGTATTAGAACAACGCAAAAATGCGGAATATTGTGTAATATGTTTACTAAAACGTTGAAACTTAATGTTATCAATAAAACGTATGTGCTGTGTAGATTCATTAAAATATCGATATTTTCCTTTAAACGTCTTATGAGCAAACAACAAAAAGCTTTCGGGCGGCCTAATGCGTTTAAAAATGCTCCACTATTTGTGTCGGGCCAACTTTTTTATGATGTTTTCAATAGCGGGGTGGTCGTGTAACAAAAAACACCTAGTGGGTGGCCACTAACGTTTAATGTTGACGCAACCGTTTTCCACTTATTAAATGCGATGCACGCGCCAGGTTAGATCAAATTTACAGAAGACCACGACGACAAAATACACTGGCGACGACTTCTGTGTAAATATCTCGTTGTGTACAAAAAAAAAAACTCGCAAGATTTCAAATTGTTTTAATTTTTAATTCGCCAAAAATAACGTGTTCGTGTTGTAGAATTTAAATGTATTTGTTTTCCTTGGCGCCCCTAAGCACGTAAAAATTGCTTTCCGCATACGTTATGGCAAATATCCGTCCCAAGCATCGCCGACCACTCCTTGTGTTTTAAACAGAGTTGAATTGGAGTTCTTAATTACAAGTTGTGTTACAGTTGTCTTAGCTGCGCGGCCTTGGTCTGTCATAATTATTTTTGTTATTTATCACTCCTATCATAGGAGTTATTTAAGTATGTTTTTACTTGCCACCTTTAATATAATGTTTTTCAACTCGACGTTCGTTTTGTGGCGGTCTATAATGTACAGAATTAAATTAACCGTTATCATCTCATTATTGTCGGCTAAGTGATTTTGAAATTAATCGATAAAAATACTCAAGTTTAACATTCACTCATAAACACTGAGGGACTCCGTTTAATATTGTGCGCCAATAATTTGAATAACAACTCTGCCAAAACCGCCGTTTTTCTACACCTTTTTTAATTAAATCCCGTGAATGTTTCGCGTGCAAACAAACGCAACAAAATGGCTAATTCTTAAAATTGTCCCGTGTCTCGATAATTTTCATAAAAAGTACGACGGCAGAAAAATATTTACTAAACGCAACATATTTTTCACGTCATTACTATTCTAAGCACTTGCATAGAAAAAGGAACTGAACGAAAGATTTCATTGGTATTGCGATCAGAGTTGTATGCTGACCATGACACGGTTGGGTTTAATAATTAAATGACGTTAAAATAATCATTCCTATAATTTTTGTACAAATTATTCGCATTCCATCGTTGAAAAAAAAAAAAACACTCAACTTTACAAGCATTAAATATGCAGAAATAAAATTATACGTGCAAAAGAAAACATTCGTGTGCTCTAAACGTATGTATTTACGTTTTATCATAAAAAAAATATCTATTCCTGCTAATTTAAATTGTTTATTTTTACTTTAACACGAATAATTATTATTGATGCTCGACCGAAGAATTCTTCTGTAGTCGTCGTACAACATAATAATCATGTTGTATTATTATTATTATTGTTTTACAACAATTTTATTTGCCAGCATTTTACTGGGCGCCGTCGCTGGGAAATTGAGTTAGAATTCTCTGGAAATGTAAATCTAAAAGGAGAATTACACGATTGAGTGAATTGTTATTAAAAATGCAGATTTAAATGGAACCACAATATTTACAAGAAACGGTTGCAAATGTACACTTTGTACTGCCGTCCGATCGAAAATAATCAAATGACCAAAATAAAATGCGTTGCAACGATCGACTGTCATCTATTAAACGAAATCGACTACAGATAGTCGATATGTTTGATTAGACGAAATCAAGCCGAGTAAAATATTGTTTACCTTGTGTAAACATTATTGGGTTGTCTTTTCTTGTCGACAAACGTTACGCTTGTATAGTTAACTGAAATCGGTTCGAAACGAAATAAATAACCGAAATTCGGTGATTTCGGGCGCCTAATGGGAAGAAACCGTAAAATCTGGTACGGGTCACAGCCAATGGATTTAACAGATACGAGTATGTTATAACAATGCAAGGAGTGTCCTCTTTCAGGAATTTACTTTTGTGGAAATAATATAAAACGAAATTCTTTAGATTTTCTTTTAATGGCATTACTCAAATATTCTTAGATTTCGTATTGCATACAATTTATTAGAGTTGTCTGGCTCGGAAGTGAGATTAAAAAACAGAGCCCGAGTATATGGTTTTTCGCCGTTTGCAAATTAGCTGTTTACCGAGTGTAAACGCGTACGACGGAAATAAAATCGATTTTTTACCAATAATAAATATTACACGTGGAACAAGACAACACGGCTAATGAAATGGGTTTGTGCGCGAAAAGCTCACATATTAATTTTTACACAACTCATTTGCGTGCGTGTAATCGATCCGTTTCCACGTTAATCGATTACACAATCGGTTCACTAATACGAATAGAGTTCATAGTCGTCGGCGATGAATAATTAAGTGCCGTCGGATTAATGAACTATTAAACCAGACTAATTGTTCGTTGAACTTCGGTCCGTAGACCTCATTTTTCGTGAACTTCACAGTTTTATCGTAATTGTTTTTCAACGAATTTTTGGCTATTCTCGTTAAAATGACAACAAACAGAGAATCGCCAGCGTCAGCTCGAACGCCGTAATCTTTGCATCGTCTTGGCCAACTTCTGGGAACGCTAAAAAAGCCGACCCCGAGCGCAAACGTTTTAAAAATACGATAACAATTTTCAGCCTAACACGCTGTCTCGATGTCAATATTGTTATTAGTTGCGTTTTTTTGTTATTTTTAAATAAAAAAAAAATCGAATTAAAAGTGGCGGCTACTGTGCACGTCTGCCGCCTATAATTCAATCGAATTTTATTAACATGGGCTTTTTTTTTTTTTACAGGATTGACCAACGACCGTCATGAACCGCTTCCGAGCAATTGTTACTGTCGCAGTTGTATGGCTGTTGCTGTTACAGGTCGGCGAGTTTGCAAGTGAACTCAGAGGTAAATTAAACTTTTTTTTTTGGCGCTTAAAACTTGTTATTGTTCTTTGCTTGCCTTGATAGACATTTTGAATACATTAATTCAAATTATATCCAACGTCGTGTTGTTAAGTTTGTTACAACACAAAATTACATTATGCCCAGTCAATAACGACGTCGTGATAGTATCATGTTATACATTCTCGGTAATTACACAGAGTGTAGTGTGCGTACAACAGACTAGTTAAAAAAAAATTAATGACAGTGTTTACAATTCTCAAAAAACGACTCCCACGCAAAGTAATGATTTTCGTTTGGATTTCTCGATAAGGATACGCGATATTTAGAATTATATATTTACATATAAACGCAATTAGACGTTCGGTTTTCGGAAATTGTCAACAACCGCATGAATAAGCATCAACTAGATATATTTTTTTCCAATTAAATAATAAAGCACAAAATTCGAAGAAATCGGTCTCGGATCAGCAAACAGTAGTAAAGTAGTATTATGTTTATCTATTTTTAGCAATACCGGTGGTTTTATATTTTTAGGCAGACTACTAATTCTTAGTAATTATATTATTTGAAACGTACAGATGTACTGTCTCCCTTAGTCGTCTGCAATTATGTTATTCGATCCTAATGCTCCAATTTATATTGTGTTTATTGCTACTTGAATTATTACTTTATTGTTTATTTATTTTTTAACTGGTTTAAATATTTCACATATTATCAGAGTATTATAAAACAATCGTCAATAGAATTAATCGATGACTATTTTAAACGAAAGACCAATTCAATTCAATTGGTCATTTTTCATCAAATTAAGTTTTCATAAACGTACACATCGAGTAAATAGATATAAAGTACTATCGATAATTGACAAAATTGTTTTTCCAATTTCATCGACAACATTATGAGATTCTTCTATTTTTTGATACCGTTTCCTATCCAAGTACTTAAAAAGGAATGAATCATTGTACACTTTTGGACGTATGACTGTAGACTAATGACATCATCATCCGTTTGTTTGTCCGTGACACACGTGGAACGTTTCAGTGGCAGACACATTAGGAAAATATCACTGTGATCTTGTCTGCGTCAAATTGACACCATGTCTCCTGTTTGGATATTGTATAGGTATCATTTTTGTCTGTCCATGCCCACCCTATGGAATACTGAACTGAACTGCACTGAACTTGAACACAATTACACTCGTCTCGCGGTCAAAATCAATTGTTTCGAGCGAGTCGTGTACATTGTACGGAAATATGTTCAACTATTGTGTTTTTAGCCCGAGGCCGAATTATTAGCATCGTAAACGAACGGTTCTCACGACATCAAAGGATCGACGCGAGTAAAAAGACCCGTCTGTTAATCATCGCCGTCATAATAATAGTAATAATTATTATTATTTGAGATATATCCGAACGCCGTCCAATGCAACCGAATGATTTTGTCGACATCTACACGGAATACACTTCATTATGATCGAACGCACAATGTATCCGGAGTCGGAAATTTTAAAAGTTCTCAGAGGGAGTGATGATTAAAAAAAATTATATTAATTACCAAATTCGTCACACCCTTTGTTGAGCGCCCCGACGTACGGGCACAGGGTCCCTTACCTTGTCCGCTTGCATGCACTTCTTCGTGTTACACTTAATTATGCTTTTATTATATTTAATTAACCTCACGGCCAAGTTGTTTTACGTTTTCGAAAAGTAATATACTCGTACAATAATCGCTACACGATGACCAATGGTGGAGAATAACGACTATTATATTGTTATTTGTGTTATGACATGCAATTTCGGTTGGATACGCGCCGTATAGAGTTTATGTCGAGGAGACTGTATACGTTGCAAAGAAAACGGTCACGCCCTCCATTGGATATGGTAGTATATATATATATATATTTTTTTGTTCAATTTCTACCAGTTTGAACGATTAAAATGTTCACTTTCGTCTCGAATGAAAATCTCTGATTTAAAAGTCTAGACTACAATCTCAAGTTAAATGAAGCTGAGAAATTTTAAACACCGATATTTCTTTTTCGTTTTTTAAGCGCCATAAAAAATGATAATCGGTTTACAAAATGGCAACCGCCAGACGGAGTCCGATGTATGGTGGTAAGGAGCCGTGAAAAGGGGATGGGTATGCAATCCTGTTTGACAAAACGTTAAGACATAAAGACATCTAGAAATCTTACAGAGCCAAATTATCTTTGTACATATTTCTACGTTTTTATTTAACAAAATAAGTATAAAAACGACATAAGCAATTTATTTCAAAAATAAAATGTTTCATCTTTAAAAGTAATATTTTAGCCAACCTATGTATTTTTATTCATCTTGTAGAAATTGGGTAATGTTTAATTAAGTTAATGTAGCGATAATAGTATTTTTAGTTCTGAGTAATTAATCATCACTGTGCCATCGAAACGGCATATTAACATTAATTAGCAGTGATGTAATTTTTAATTTATGATATTTTCATTATTGCTAGCGCATGTTCGCGATAGCATGTCCTATTTCTCATTGCATCTCGTCAAGGATAAGTAGCTGGATGATTTGCTTAAAATAAAATCGAATTGTTCATAACTATATTAATATAAAATATTATTCATGTGCGATTACGATTTAAAATTCAGACACATAATTCTTCAAATGAAAAATATTTTTTCGATCGACTTATATGATAAGATTTATAGGTTTCGCTCTTTAATATTGATATTCGCCTCGACAAATTTCACAACTGCTCCTCTCTGAGCCACTCCCTAAATACGACCCTAGGGGGCCATGATAAAAATATCTACAAAATTCTATATTTTGGACCCTTTATGTTTTGTTCGTCGCTCTACTTTAGAGATAAATATTCCTTAATAACGTTTTTTCGTAAATTACGTCGTAATAATTATTTTAGAACGTTATTTTGTCAAATTGGTTCTAGTGCTGCTGCTGTCAGTGGGGAGACCCGAACCCCTCGGTGCCCTTAACTGTGCCACTGCATCAGTAGATAGCAGAAAGCGCCAAGTCTCTAGTGGAAAACACGCGATCCTATTAAATTACTAATTTTATTTGTACATAATATTTTATGTTTAATCCAAATGGACGTCGTAACATTTCACACACAAATCGATGATTTTTAATTAACTACTTAGGAACGGAAAACAAACGCGTAAACTTGTGTGGATTACGTAATATTATTTTAATAAACCAGAGATAATTCGTTATAATTGATAATAAACGTCCTCCGTGCATCGCGTGTAATACACAATACTTACAAATGAAATTGTTTCCACGCGATCGGTTGTTGAAACTCATTGAAAAAAAAAAAAAGAAAGAAATCAAGTGAAACACATCAGGTGCATAATGAGTCGCACGAACCCTTGTTCTCAAAATTACCACCGTGCGACGGCTGGTTAAGACAACATTCCTCGTTGTCGTTTACACAATCCATTAAAACCGTCGCGGGGTAAATTTATTGTTATTATTTTAATAACAAGACGTTTACTCTTTTGTTCAAATGTAAAAACTACACGGTACGGGCCGCAGAGTTTGACCGGCTCGGTCACAGTGGGGATTGTTTGTTTTACCGTAGATAATTTATGTTGGAAATGACCGTGAGGGGAGGAGGCAAGAGAGAAAAAAAAGAAGGTAAACGGCAGCGGTACCTGCGATGTCTTCATTTCTCACCGTCGCGTTTATCATCTTTGTCGTGTACAATACACCAGCGAACCCCTACGGTAATCTCCTCGCGGACCTATTAGTGTGTAGTTTCGGTGCCTATCTGCAGACATCATCTTCCGTTCGCGGCGGTTGCCAGGCAGGCGAAACGGTTTTGCCGTCTCGGCACCGCCGACAATCTTTGCCGGAGACGTAATTAACGCGATCGTTTTCGAAAATTAGATTGACCGGCCAACGTAAATATTCCACAGAATGTGTTGCTGTGCACGTGAGTGGTGACCGCGCAAGGTCAAGCTGCCGTTAGTAGTAGTAGTAGTAGTAGTAGTAGTAGTAGTAGTAGTAGTAGTAGTAGTGTAGTAGTGGTGTTGGCAGCGAGACCAGTCGGCCGTACGGAAGGTGCCCCTCGGGCCGTCCAAATCGATCGCATACCGAGTTTGGTCAAACGCCATAAGATATAACGTTAAACATATACAAGATCATAACAACATAATATCGTATAATCGAATAGCATAAACACCCCGTCGTAACGCTTGTAACCGACCGGATCGGCGGTTACCGTTGCAACACGTAAACCATTGTGCGAGTAATGTGTGTGTGTGTGTGTGTGTGTGCAAACAACACATACGGCGCAGAGAGTATGGAAAATAACAATTTCAAGTGAAACTATGCGTGTACATGCTACATCCGCTAAACGACCAATAAACCCGGATTCGTATGCCGCTTAATAAATTAATTAGTGTGATCCAGCCCGACGTTACGCTGGCGGTGCGCTTGTAAGCGCCGGCCGAGATGGGTAACGTTTCAAAAACTAGTTTTCAACGGCAGGCAATTAAGTTTCTCGCTGATTATTTTTTTATCACGCCCGCTCGCATTCCACGCGTTTATTGCATACACGTTAGTACATACAATCTAGTGTCTTTGCATTTTCAGCTGCGTAATTATTTCTGCTGTGATTGTTTCCGATGCAATACGGACACTCGCCACACACGTATATCTTGGACACGTTGATATTTTTTAATGGTTGNGCACCGTGTTGGACACGTTGATATTTTTTAATGGTTGCACAACACAATATAGTTTTGGTGATCAATTTTTGTACGACACAAAGCGAAATTATTATTTGCCCGGGCGTGCGTGTTAAAGCCGAAACGAATGTGTTGTTGTTCACCGTATAAATCGGACCCTGCAAGTTTATTATCTGCGATCGACGATTGTGGTGCTTATGAATACACTTGTTGTGCGAGTCGTAATGAACTACAGCCGATCAAATTTTACTCGATTTATTTTTGATTTACTGTAGTGTTGACTATTTACACCAGTTGGTAATTAG